ATTTATTATTCACCGGCACATATTCATGTTATTCTACACAATGTTTAGTAATTGTATATTAATTCAATCTATTCGATGTAAAAAAAATTTGCCTCCCCCCAAACCTTCCATGTTAAAAATAATTATTTTAATTAAATTATTGCATATAACAATATTTTGCAGAGATTTTATTTATTATTAACTTTATTTATTTAACTATGTATTTATTTTAATAATATATAAAAAAATAAATTTCAAAATATATAAATTTTATACAGATTATTATATTAAAAATTGAATGTAAATAACTATATTTTAAAAAAATAAAATTGCAATAAAATATGAAATTCTTGCTAAAAAAATACAATTTAACAATTTTATTTAGTATAAACCTTTTATTTAACTATGTGTTTATTTTATATACAAAAAATAAATTTCAAAATTAGAAATTTTATACTGATTACTATTTTAAAAATTGATTGTAAATATCTATATTTTAAAAAAATAAAATTACAATAAAATATAAGTAATTCTTGTATGCAATTTAAAAAAATATAATTTAACAGTTATATTTAATACAAATGAGTATATTATATAAATAATTCTTATTGTAGATGCAATACTATAATTAAATATAGTATAAAAATATCATGACTAAAAATTTATTATAATTAAGTTTTACATATAAAAATTTTATGACTAAGAAAATATTACAATTATATGATTTGAATTTATAAAGAGAGGTCTACTTTTCTCTGAGATTTGGCTAATTCATCTAGAATCAAATTTTTATCTAGAATAATCTCCTTATAAATATTTAATAGGGCTAATCCATTTAAACGATTTTCATCGGTGCTATTTCTTAAATAGGTTTTTAACCTTTTCAAAGTTGAAAAAGACCTTTCATTAGTGCAGGTACTAATCGGTAAAGTAGCTAAAATAAAAAACAATGTTTTGATATTGGGCAGGGAATCTAAAGTGCAATTACACATGGAAAGGGCCCGCAAAGCATTTTTTGGTCTCAAAGAGTACTCTATTCTGCCAAGATTTTTATACCAAAATTCGACATCACAAAGTAACTTATTATACGACCCTAATAAATCATCAGAATAAAACTCTGAGATGTTCCTAATATCCTCTCGCGTTTCAAGTGTAATCAACAATTCAGACTCAACCGGCAAAAGAAAATAAAAGCTTTTTAAAATAAAATTGTGACTTATAAATCTTTCCTTTAATTGAAATAAAAATGTATCAATAAGTGGAATAAAAATGTGAATTTTATAAAAATCCTCAATCGTAGATGCATCAATATTTGAGCGATTGGATTGTCTAGAAACTACTCTAGGTTTAAAAATTTCAATCCCAAACATATTAGCGATCTCCTTTACTTTCTCATATATTTCGTGAAATTTTTCATTCATATTATCTCTGATATTTGTTAATATTTCAACAATATCCTTTGCCCTATTCATAACCTCCCTTAAATCCAAATCAATTTTTTGTAACATATTGCTAAAATCATATGTATAATTAAATAAAAAATAAACACATTGAATTGAAATTAAAAATTGAGCTTCGTAATAACCTGTAAAAGATTTTCCGCATCTGCGGAATCTTTTTCTTTGCGTAATATGTATGATTCCAGTGCCGCAAAAATAACCTCATATAACTCGATGAAAACCTTCACCGATTGTTGTCTTTCAATGAATGTGGGACAAAATCTTTTTAATTTTTTTTTTGAATTTTTTGAATCAATTTCATCGAACGTTTGGGTAAAAATTTCCCTCTTCTTGGGTGGGGTAAAGAAGTCACAAACCGACGATATTGTTTCTAAATTTTGAAAAATATATAAAAATTATATAAAGATATCTATAATACATAATAAAATCTAATAAATTTCAATTAAATCAAAATCTTTTTACGTAAACTGTTCCGGATGTCTCTAATTTCACATGCCTCAGTTATCATCAAATTCAGGCAATGTGAACTGCAGTGAACATAAAGAGCTGTGCTATAAAGCTCTCTAATTCTTGACTGGACCCCTTTAACATGGCCACTCATCGAGGGAGCTCCATCGTACCCTTGGCCTCTCAGTAGATTTAAATTTAAATCCAGGTTTTGAAGTGATTTAATAATTTGATTAGCAATCGTTTCTGACTTAATGTCAGGTAATTCAATAAATTGAACAAATAGTTACTTCATTTTATAATTACCTGATTCCATATCAATAAACCTTAAAAATATCTTTATTGTTATTTAATAAATTTAACTATGCCAGAAGTTATTTACATACAATCTATCTTTATTCTTTTATTGTTATTTAATATTTTAGTTCATATAATTTATAAATATTTTTAAACGATGTGATCATTTAAAATTAAAACTCCTTTTTTTATAAATATATTTCATTGTGATATTCATATTCATATTGTATTATATATAATATATTATCTTATTTCTTTAAATTGAAACCGTTTTTTAAATATAATTATTCGCAATAAAAAAATAATAATTTTTTATTTAATAAAAAAAAAAAAAATTTAAAAAAAAACTGCTCATGAGGAATAATTCATAATAATCGTAATAATTTTTTTTATTGCCTCATTTTTATAAAAAGTTTAAATTTTATATAATATTATTAGATTTGTAAATTAGAAATTACAATTATTTAATATAACATATTTAATTTATGACTACAGCAAGCATCTGCTCATTCTAATAGATGCTATGGGTGTTAGGTAGTTAACCTTCACACATTTAATAATCATAATAAATATATATATTATCATTAAAGAATATATATTTTTAACGAATATACTAATTCTTAATAATATAATATTATATATTTAAACATATATTTCCATAATATAAATAATAACAATATATGTATAATTTCCACATTACTACATTTCCCCTTTATTAATTGAAAGTAACCTTATATCATTTAGACTTGAACAAACAGTTTTTAATATAAAATCATTTAATAATCATAATTTTATCATTCTCACTTTAATATTTGTATTGTTAATATATTTTATTTCATTCTGAAATTTCATATAATATAAACAACCTGAACATCTTAATGATTTTATTATTTAATTTCTTTTGCAAATTCATTCATCAACCTTTCTTTGTCAGCAATTATATAATAATTCATTCAATATCAGAACCATTAATATTCCAATTTAAGTTTATTATGAACCATAATTTTATCATATTTTAAAAATTCTCCACATTTTGACATAAGATTTACAATTTTATTTTTATCCATATTAATTTCATGAATTATCTAATACTTTCATATTGCTCAAACAAATATCACATTTACCAAATAGTTCATAGATACTTACCATGACATTTTCCAATCACCCATAATTTAATTCATAAAGCATCTTATAGATTCCTATTGCAGGTTCCTTCTTTCCTCGTCACTCTAATAAATTAGTTAAAATACATATTTACATTTACATCCATGACTGCCGCTAATATAATATTTGGGATAATTCATACACTTATTTATACGACCATAACAATATATATAGTTCCAGATATCACATTATCCAATATTATTTTAATCATAAATATAATATTATCATTACAAAATATATCTAAATACCGAATGTATTAATTCTTTTTAAAATAATATATAATATGATATTCATACATTTATTCCAAATGCATGTATACTTTCCACATCACTACATCATCATGTATAGAATCATATATTTTAGTGAAAATGCATGACACACTCTTCAACCCTAGTGTTGTTAAATGGTTGGTTTTTTACGACCACGACCCCGAGTCGAAGTCGTAAAAATTGGCCCAGAGCCAGGGTCTAGAAATCGACCACGACCCAGCCCGACCCATTGGGCCTGTTGAGCCGACCCGGGTCGGCCTGCTGGGTCGGCTTGCTTGGTTGGCTTGCTGGGTCAATTTGTTGAATATATAGAAAATTAAACTATTTTGTTTTAATCCGGGTTCATTATTTTTGATATTAGAAAGATGTTTTTTAAAATTTATTTATAAGTAAATTATAACTTTTTATATCTTCTTATCTTATCTATGACATTGGTCATAGATCTGCCGAAAGTAAGTGTATGTGAATTATAAAGAAGCCCACCCTCCCTATAATTTTGCTGAATTTTTTTTCTCAGGGATACCAACATTTGTACAGATGTATATTTATTAAAATGAGTGGAATTACGCCCTATCCAATTTGTAGTTCTAGAATGAGGTATAGTTATGGGTGTGAAGGAGAAAAAGGCAAGAAAATAAAAATTATATCTTCTAAATTCAAAATAGCTATTAATTATTTAGTTAAAAAAAATTTCATTTTAGATATTGTATTTTAAACTAAATATTATGTAATCAGTATAATACATATGACTTGATAGATTTTCCTTACGTTATATATTCTTAACTTCACTTTGTAATCGAAAAAAATTATATTTAGCTTCTCATAGTTTTTTTCTAACATCAAATTTATATACCTTTATCATACTATTTGGATCTATAAGGTAAGGTGCCTAATCATGATGAATATTAATCTTATAAGGATGTATAAAATAACATTATCATAAAAAATAAAATTTTATCGGTAAAATATATTTAATTTAGAAAACTAGAAAACATTAATTTAGAAATTAACAGTTAAGAGAGTAATAGATATATTTTATTTATTTGTTATAAAATATCTATAAATAATCAAAAAGGGTACAAAATGCCAGAAAAATATCTTAAAAGAAAAAAAATATTTTGAAAAAAAATTGATATTTTTTTTAAATTATAAAATGATGTGAAGTTTTATTTTGTTCCTCTGTTTACATTTTCGTTCGATAAAGAAAAATTTCTTTGCAGCCCGATATATAAACCAACATATTTTTATTTTAAAATATAATATTTTTGTAACTGATTCGCAATTTTTGCATTCAATATTTATCAGCTGTTAAATGTCAAATTTATTGTCAAACTTAATTATTATATAATAAGTATCACATTATCTATTTTATTGTAGTTTTTCGATTACTCTATTCATAAGAATGTCCTTAACGAACAATATTACTCAACATACAAAATCACACGAAATTAATTTTGATAATTCATCTAATATGCCCAATGAAAAATTGAATTTGAAATACAATTACTATTATATTAAATCTTTAAAAGCAATAACACAATTAATTCATTTGGTATACTTATTTAAAAAAATATACACTAATTAACTAAATTTAGTTTTTAGCTATTATTTGCCTGGCTCTGGTATTATCTGTAGATCATTATACATTCCATGATAATATTGATACATATTCTATATTGGACACATCAATTGGTCCATATATTAGAGTTTTTACCTTCATATTAGTTTACACACTTTTATTCACTTCTGTAACATTATTTGTTCATATGTACAATATTCATGTATTTATAAGCCATGAAATAAATCTTATAAAATTGGTAAGATTTAGTTAAATATTATATTTTACTTATATTTATAGGAAATGACACTATACATTATATTTACAGTTATGTATTTTTTAATTTCTCCAATAATGATTGGAAGCCTGACATATTATCATTATCTATTTGTTAATAAATCAGCATTTCGGCAATTATTGATATCTAGTGTAAGCCATCATTATACAATATATATATATAATTATCTCCAATATTTATTAACATTGAGTCTCAATAGAAAAATATGCCTTATCCTGGTGCAAGCTTGTTATGTATTTGTATATATTTTTTTAAAGGATCTAAGATAATATTTAACATAATTATTAACTAATATGTGGATGTTTGATAATAGCTACGTCATTTTCAATTTGGAAAGTAATGAGTGTCTACTTTATCATTGTTCAATGAAAATATACTTTTTGGTTAATTTTTGAGTAGAAAAATTTGCTCTGCTTCTCCCAAATATAATTAAGGATCATAAGTAGTAATCTTTAATAAGATATTTTTTTAAAAAAATTGGGAAAATGGAAATTGATTTATTGGGAAATACATAATTATTTTTTAAAATATACCTGGGCTGGATCTGAAATATTTTTTTAAAAAAATTACAGGGCCAGGCCGTATATTTTAACAGATATTTGAAATCACCATTATTCGCTATAAAAATCAAAAATAAATATAATATATTTTATAAAAATTTGGGCCAGGCCTGAAATTTTTTTTTTAATAAAAGCCGGGTTGGGCCATAGACAAATGTTTGAAAAATAATATCCAGACCAGGCCATGCAATTGGTACCTCTCCAGGTCTCTGATATATATATATGTGTATGGGGAGGGGCAATAATGCTGTCATCTCCTTCCTTCGGGAACCTCTTGTGACCAATTTTATGTATACAACTTATATGCATATATATGTATATATATATAATGTGACTCATAATTTATCTTGGTATTGGAGTTAAAATTTTAAGCCCCCCCCCCCCCCATAAAGAGAATTACCATTAACATCATTATTAACTTTCTGGGTTAAGGTTTCTTCCAAAGTTTAGCAATTCATTTTAAAAGAAAGTCATAATAAGGCCTTCTTTTGTATAAAATATTTTAGTAAAGAAATCAAAAAAATATTAGTTGAAAATTTCTTCAAAATCTTTCTGAAGGATAGTTTGAAATTATAATACTTTAACTAATTGTTATGAATAAATTTTATTTGAAAATTATTTCAAGGGATTAACATCTGATATAAGGAAGAAAATATATTCATAATTCGAATTCAAAAAGTAATTTTCACTTACAACTGTTTTTAGGTGTTAACTCAATATTTCAGAAAAATACTACTCAAGTCTGAAGATTTTTTTTTTCATAGAAGGAACAAAGGTTTAAAACTTATATTATCGAAATCTCGAGACTTAGCCCAATATTTTTCCGGCTAAAATATTGGGACATCTTTAAAAAAATCTGCTCAAAATGAGAATATATCCATTTCAAATAAATTTCGAGTTTTGTTTAAAGAAGAGAAGTAAAACATAACTTTGTTTTCCATTCTTTTTTAGAAAAATTCTTTGAAATGAAGATCTTACCTAAATTTTACTTGCAAAAATTGGCCTTAACGAGAATATGGTTATATTACATCTAAAATTGTCTATAAAAAAATGAGATTTGTGATTATGTATATTTTTTTTTTGCTTGAAAGATTGTTCGCTTCGTATAGTGAAAACCACCATAACCCGATTATAGTTATTTACTTCAACCAAAATTTCTCTAAAAATAAAATCGTGGTGAACGGCTTAAACCCCAGTTTTTAGCCTCAAATTATCACTTCAGCTTTCAACTTTGAAGAAAGCGGGAAATCTATAGCGGATTTTCTTCTGCGCATGCCTGTAGTCTTAGCCATTACACAATTCTAGACCTACTATTTGTTCTCCATTTTTCTAACTAATGTTATCACTAAAGGACTCCTTATTTCTCCATTTAAATAATATTGGAAAGTCTGATAACCAGGGTCTTTAAATTGCACAAGAAAAGTTGCATCATGCATTTTATATGTTAGAAAATTATTATTTTTATAATCCCTCTCTCCGCTAAAATTCTGGTGTTTGGTGCCGCTCTAGTCAGTGGACTAGGCAGCGGTCACTGGAAAGAGTTTTTCATTATATAATCCTTAAGGATGAATGAATTGATACCGGGCTCAATGCTACCACTGATAAAGTTTTCAAGTTATTTTTTTTTAAAGTATTAATATAATTCTCAGAGACCTGCAGAGGTACCATTTATACTGCCCGGCTCGGATTTTTAAAAATTATTTCTTTTCAGGCCCGATTCGGTTTTCTTTAAAATATTTTTTATTTATTTATGATTTTTAATGGCGGTTTTAAATATTTGGTTATGAAATATTCGGCCCGGCTTGGCCCGGCTTTTAAAAAATTTTCAGACCCGGCCCGGGTATATTTAAAAAAACTAAAATACGGCCCGGCCCGTGTACCCAGGGGGGCTTAGGGCCGGGCCTGCAGGTCTCTGATAATTCTTAAACTAATATTTTTATTGGGAATCAATATTAACACCAACCAGAACCGCATACAAAGATATTATTGTATTTTTTTAGGTATTGAGTTACCTATGCATGATCACGTGCGCGATGATCGCTCTAGTGACGTGGAACCAGAATTCAATCCCGGCTTTTTATTCTTCCATTATCAGCCGAGGTCGAAATTTTAGGAGATTCTCGATATCCACTTTAACCTCCATATAAAAGTAAAATCAAACATCCCCCCTTTGCCAATTAGTGAAGATAAGCATCCCTAATTAAACAAAACAGATACAAACCCAATAAGTATTATTTAAAAAAAAATCTCACCTTAATGTATTTTTTTATTATTATTTATATGATGATAACAACACTCTTATCCTAATGTTTTATAATGCAAAATATTTGTCGCGAGAAAATAAATTTATAAGTGTATCGATTTTTTGTTATCTAATAAAAAAAAGGATAAGTGTTATATATATATCTTATTAAATAGCTGGGTAAATTTATTTATTTTAGCCAAAAAATTATTAACTTCAACTCGAGTTTAAAAAATATATTAACTATATGCTTAGCTAATGTTTTTTTTTCCTTTACGCGTCCTTCTATAGTAATATGACGAATTATCTCAACTATGGACTTGGTCCACATCTGCTGATTTTTAAGTCTTCAAAAAATTCCTTTTTGTTTTCGGCTTGAATGAGTGTGGTTGCTATTGATTTATGTGGGGAAGAGGTAACATGGGTATAACTTCAGATGAGATAGCCCATGGGATAGTTGTAAAGCCATTAGCTGTTAAAGATTATGAGATTCTAATATACTATGGATTCGACCATGTTTTAGGAATAGGTTGATAGAAGTTTATTTATCGATGAAATAGTGCGGTTGAAGTTCAATTTTTAACTGAATTTTAATTACCTTAGTATTTTTGATAATTTACATAAAACTAGAATTAATTTATAAACTGAATTTGATGTGATCTTGTTTTATAGTCATATCTTTAGCCATTTATATTAATAAAATTTAGCGATTCAAAGCTCATATCCAAAATATAATTAAATTCAGGTATTATAATGAGATGTTTCGAAAACGAGAACTATTAATTCATAATTTGCGAACAAAAAAAGAATTGATTTAAATTATGATTTTTATTCTAAATAATTATCGATATTAATCAATTTGATTTAAAAATTACCAACCTAATTTTTTTTAAAAAAAACCTTAGCTGCCGTCAGCTTTTATCTTTGACGAAAAATGGGAATAGAAGTATGGCGGTCACATGTAATCTTTATATGGAATTAGATGATTATTTAAAATGTTTATGGCGGGATTCATTTAAATCTGATTTAATCATAAAATTCAAATTATTTGATTTTTTTTAGAGATGAATGAAATATTTTTTGGGTAATGGTTTTATAAACTTTAAAAAAATTTCTCGTTTCTATGTTTGCCGAAATTTTCCACCTTTTAATGAACCTTGGACAAATTAAGCTTATATCTTTGTATAATTTTTGCTACATCTTAAAATAAATATAATTACCAAAATTTTTGAGTATGGTATTTTCAACCTAAAATTCTTCCAATTTATTTCTAATAGCGGGCCATAAAAAATAAATTGTTATTTGAGTCCTGATATGAAGTTGATACTATCCAATAATCCCATAGATTTCCAAGGAATATCAGAAACTTTCCTAAGTGACATAGAAGCAACTAAAAAATATATGAGTTACCATATGTTAATATTTTTTAAATCTTCGTGATTCTATTGCGACTCCTGACCCGTACCCGAAACCCGGTCTATCTTTAAAAAATATTTGGTCAGTTCGGGCCTAATATTTTTTAAAAAATTTTGGGCCGGGTTGGGTCGGACTAAAATTTTTAAATATGATATCACATTTTGTCTAATAAAATTGATATATTTTAAAATTCTTGCAAGGCGCCAATCAATTTTTCTTAGCGTAAAATTTTCTATATTTAAATAAATTCAGACCAGGCCAGGTACAAATTATTTTAATTTTTGGTTACACTTGGGACTAATAATGAAAATATTCGCTTAAGACATTCGGGTGGGCTTGAAAAATTAGGCCCGATGCAAGATCACTAGATTTTCGATATTAACAATGTGCAACAGAAATAATTTTTTACCCCCCATTTTTTGCTAAATCAAAAACCTTATCGTCGTAATTTAAGCAATATCGGCCAGAATTTGTATTCTTTAAAATATAATCTGGCCAATGCTAAATAACAAATGGTGTGTAGAAAAGTTTTTAACTGAGTTAAACCCTTCTCGGTAGGTAGAATTACAGTGTCAATTTCTAAATTAATCAAAGACACTCAATATTTTTTATAACGGATCTTAATAAACAAGCAGAAGTTACATTTAAAAGCTGTCTTCTTTTAATTTTTAAGGCTGATTCCTTTGTTAAATTTGTAATCCTGATTGAGGGGAGGGGTATGAATTTTGAACTTAAAAAACTTTGATGAGATGGATAATACAAATTCAAGTGAATGAGTTTAAATTAAGATTTGTCCGTTAAATAGGATTAGCAAAACATTTCTATTGAATGTTGTTTATACCCCTATAGTAGGCATGCTTTTGTAATTTGTTTTATTATGCCAGCAATCCAAATCGATTCACGTAGTTCTTCTACACATAATTCAAAAAAAAAATTTTGGCGTTTTCTTTTTTTCAAAAATTTCCGTTTTTAAATTGGACAAAAGTTGTAAGAAATAAAAATATTAAAAAATAAAAATAGAATAGGTATAAATAAATTCTCAATTTTCGACCAAATGTTAAACTTAAACTTTTTCATTCTTTCTTAAATCAACTTCAATCATTTTGTAACCTTTATTTTCCGTTTTTTAAATGTAAATCAAGTAATATTTTTTTGAATATTTAAAATCCAAAAATAAAATATAAAAAATGAAAATACATGAAAAAAAAGTGAGGATAAAAATATTTTCAAGATCTTTTCTGTTGTTTTTTCCTTTCAATCTCTTCTTCCCTTTCCTTCTCAATCTTGATGATATAGCCTTCGATCTCTTCTGGAGTCAGAGTCTGTTTTTAAAAATTAAAATTTATGAGATGTAAAAATACGATATATAAATTTTCAAGAAATTAGGAAGTTGACCATTAATTAATAGGTTTAAAATAGATTCGTAGACTTTTTATTCTTTCGCCCTTCATTAAAAAGTGTACATACATTGAAATTCGCCATTGGAGAATATTTAGAGGAAATGTATAAATGGTAATTAAACGAAATGCTTCAACGAAGCTAGAGCTAACGATATTGATTACAGCTAACTTGAATATATGTCAATTTTAATTGAATCGTCAGTTTAGGTTAGTATCAATGTCATTAATTCATCCATCTTCCCTGTCGTGATGGGTGAAAGAAGAAAAGAAAATGTTTTTTTATTTGTTAGCATGAGTATTTTTTTATAATAACAGCATAAAAAATATTACTTTTTTTATTATATAAAATTGCAACTCATGCTAACAAATAAAAAAAACATTTTCTTTTCTTCTTTCACCCATCACGATTTGCCATCCCCAGAGAGCTAAGCTCCCAGCAACTCCTCCCATTCTCCGGCTGACAGGTCTACTACTGGCCAGCTATCGTTGCTATCGCCACTGACATTAGGATGACTATTCGTAATATTCCACGGCTCCACCAAGGCGATAGGTATCGTCCTCCCATTATTCTCCAATACCCCATTTTCTGGTGTTCTCTGTGTTTTCCTCACTGGCAAAGTGGTGTGAATTGACAAAGGATTCTCCCGGTTCCTACTCCTCACGCTCCGTTTGACCCTGGGACTCCGGCGCCGGGCACCTATTTGTTGTTCGCTCGTCATCCCGTCTCCTCGGGCACATCAGTCGCCCGACAGATATAGCAGACCCGCGGCCTCCTCCATGGTCTCAGCCCCTGCCGTCGGGGCTCCGGTAGCTCCGGGCTCACCTCACGATGGTTGATTGTTGTAACACGGACTGGCCCGTCGTTCATGTAACTCCTGAGAATATCATTGTTTTGTCTTAATGGCGGTAGAATCCGGCCTTCCTCGTCTACTCGACCCGAAATATGCTAACTCTGATCGTCAGACCCTCCCAATACAAACACCGATGCACTCCAGATATCATTCTATATACATACATTCCCATTTAAATTCGGGTAAAAAAAATTAATTCTCATATAAATTATTCTTTTACTTTATTTCCTAGGGGTAAAAAGAATTTTGCTCAGGACAAGTGACCCCAAAAAATCGTCTATTAATTTTAAATTTTTACACAAAAAAAAATCAGGAACAAAAATTTTTTTTTAAATAAGTTCTTCTATTTCTCCCAACTCCACTGAATAATATAATATCATTATTATTCCTCTTTTAAACCCCAATTTCCCCCGTTCAACTGTCGACACACATCTATTTTTCTTTCCAACAGATAAAATTCCTTCCCAATTTTTTGGCCAGTCCGTGTTACAACAACCAACCATCGTGAGGTGATCCCGGAGCCTCGACGGCAGGGGCTGAGACCATGGAGGAGGCCGCGGGTCTGCTATATCTGTCGGGCAACTGATCATGTACAAAATCAGTGCGCGAGGAGACGGGATGACGAGCGAACAACAAATAGGCGCCCGGCGCCGGAGTTCCAGGGTCAAACGGAGCGTGAAAGGAGTAGGAACCGGGAGAATCCTTTGTCAATTCATACCACTTTGCCAGTGAGGATAACACAGAGAACACCAGAAAATGGGGTATTGGAAAATAATGGGAGGACGATACCTATGGCCTTGGTGGAGCCGTGGAATATTATGAATAGTCATCCTAATGTCAGTGGCGATAGCAACGATAGCTGGCCAGTAGTAGACCTGTCAGCCGGAGAATGGGAGGAGTTGCTGGGAGCGTAGCTCTCTGAGGATGGCATGTCGTGATGGGTGAAAGAAGAAAAGAAAATGTTTTTTTTATTTGTTAGCGTGAGTTGCAATTTTATATAATAAAAAAAACAATTTACGATATTTTTTTTTTATAATAACATAAAAAAAACAATTTACGATATTTTTTTTTTATAATAACATAAAAAAAATATTACTTGCAACTCATGCTAACAAATAAAAAAAACATTTTCTTTTCTTCTTTCACCCATCACGACATTCCCTTTTAGAGATGAGATATTTCCTGATATTCGAATATATTCTTAACTGTAAAACTGAAGATTCCTAATAAAATAAAAAAAATTATAAAAAGATTGACACTAAGTCCTAAACCTGCCTTTTTACTTGGAACCACGAATCGGTCTTTTCTTGAGGACCATGGTCGGGATAGAAAAATGGATATATTATATCCTATGCCTTTTTACCTCCGTCTAGGAGAATAAATTGAGTTCAAGTTGATATGCCTTAATATTTGTGAGTCAAAGTTTAATACGGGTTAGGGGGAAAAATCCAAACCTATGCTTGGAGATCCGATTTAACAATAAATTTCTCCCGTAGGTAAAGACATAGGATATAGTTATATATCTATTTTTTTTAATTGAAGGGAATTCGATTGAATTTATGTATATTTTCAAAGGAAAAGTGGCACTTGTTGCCATAAAATAAAGTGGTGATTTTGGCTACGGATTATAAAATATTATAAAAATGTTGTATAAAATGGAATAAATACACTCAATGATTATTTTACAGGAAAATAAAACCTGATATGGCAAACAAAGTTATTTGGGCTAAATGTTCAACTAAAGGAAGGATTAAATAAAGAAACGAACCTTGTAAGGCATTCCTCTTTCCATAATCCCGATCTCCATGGATTTCCCGCCACTTTGAACGACTTCGAGCAGAGATTTAACGGCAAGAGAAATGCAGCCTTCCTTGGTAGCAACTTCAGTTTCAGTGTAATTTTTTTCCAAAAATTCTCTGACCGTTTTAAAGCCTCTCCCTATAGCGTTAGCCTTGTATAATATAATAAAGAAAAAGGAATATTATATTTGTAATTTTATTCCGTGATAAATAAATTTTTTCAGGACTTTAAGGATAAAAATATTTCTATTTGACTATAACAGTGAAATTCAACTTGATGAACACCAAACTAGAGCCCTACAAGTTTATCCAAACCTGGACCATATGGCTCGGGAAAAATATTTGGACAGATTAAAAATAAAAATTTGGTGTAGGTGGAGAATTCTAGGCGAAATGGAATTGTCTTAAAATTAAATAAAGGATACCTTCCATTCTAGATGTGTACCGGCTGGATCCGTTTGAAATATATGGGGACTGCCATCTTGATCAAACCCAGCTAAGAGGATAGATATGCCGAAAGGACGTCTACCGTTGCTTTGCGTGTATTTCTTTTTGATATAAAAAAATATATGCATTTGTATTGATAGTAATCTCAAATTTGTGTCAATCAATATCATTTTATCGTCGGTTGAGAAATGCAGTGGTCTATCTGACCATAAATTTTCTTAAAAATATTCGCGGTCAACGTTACCATGCAATAGTGTTTACGTTGATAGAGTAAAAAATAGTGATAATCAAAAAAATAATAGGTTACCTCAAAAAATTCCGAAAATGTGAAGATAGAGCCTTCATTACTCAAACTTTGATTTATTACAATATTTAATAAACATTTAAAAATCCTGTTTTTCTTATACTTTTGTTTCGATTTTTTTTTAAAGTTAAATTAATTAGTTTTTTTAAATAAAAACTTGTTTGTAGGATGCGATATATCGGGAAATATGTTCGACAGAGACTGGATCCTCGAAGGTTAACCTGTGGCTCTGACACTCTATTCTGGCTCGGTTTATGAGTACTCTGGCGTCAGCTGTTAGACCTGAATATTATATGTTTTATAATCATTAAATTTCCGACAAATCTTTCGGAAGTCACCTCCCCCCCCCTTCACATATGCATGAGGTCAGGCCTCATATATTTTAAGTTAACTCTTGGGTGGTAATCTGGGGCATAGGTACACCTCAGATTTTAAATGGTTACTGTAAAAAAGATCTTTAGTATATGGATTATGTTTTTTTAAGTACCCTATGTTTCTGCAAAAATTCGTGTAAGCAAGTAAGCCTAAGCACTGAGGCTGCATCCTGGTTAGACTTAATTTTTTATGGATTCTGAAAAATGAAGCTAGTTGCACCTCAGCTCGAATTATTTTTATAAATACATAAGAGGAATCCTGTAATGTCTACTTAAATATTTTATAAAAATTTAGGAATAGTATCATTTCCAAAAAAATCATTTTAATTCTTATATACTATACATAATATTAAATTAAATGGCAGGAAATTGTAAAAAATCAATACAAAATTTCTTTTTTGATCTAAAAGTATAATCTTTGTATAGGTAATTTTGATATTAAATTCTTTATTCAATTAAGTAGTTTTTAATATGTTTAATTGAATGAAGGCAGATGATGGTAAAAAAAGTACGTTATTTTTTGCTATTTTTTAAAACCCTCCCAAAATATAAATGTTAGGAGGCTAACATTTTGCCTATTTCTTAGATTTGTAATCATGATTACACGATAAAGGGATATAGAAATTTATGTTAGAGAGTGTTTAAGTATTTAATTAGTAACGTTTTTGTCTATGTTGTAATTGTTAAACCAAATTACAAAGCCGAGGATATTCAAATCTACTCAAGAAAAAAGAATTAAATTTCGAATGCAAATGATTTAAAGAAAGAGGAATAAAAAAGAATGATTATTCAAATTAAAGAAAGTTCAAAATTTTTTTCAGTTTGTTTATAAAACATTATGTAAATGAATTATAGAAAAGTATATATATATTCGAGGATATTTGTATAAAAAAAGATCATGATTTTACGAACTTAATTATAATTTTTAATTTTAGATTATTTTAATTTTTTTTAATTAATTTAGTTTGATTATATTTTTAACTTATTATTTAATAAAGATTTAGTATCATTTTAGTTCTAACTTTTCTGATTTGACGAATATTATAGAAAAATATATATAATCGAGGATATTAGTCTGATTTAGTATCAGTTTAGTTCTAACGAGGATATTAGTCTGATTTAGTATCATGTTATTTTAACCTTTCTTATTTGACAACGAATTATAATCTTCCAATTCTTATTTTAATTGTTCTAAATGTTACAGTCTATTATTGTTTTTAAGAGAATGTGTAAAAAAAAGGAAGAAAAAAAGGGCGATAGTCTACTTATTTTTATACGAAAGATTTTGATATAATTTTGAATTTGATAAAATTAATTTTTGTTTTAAAGTATTATGATACTCGAATTCAGTCAGTGGAACCATATATTCCCACGTTTTATAAGTCGAACTAATAGCTGTTACATCCCATAATCTGAGGATTTACTATAGATACATTATATTTTAACCTTTCTTTGCTTACTAAATTTTTAAAAAAAAATCAAAGGGGACCGCACCAATCGTGCTTGATTTATTGTGGAATGATACTTTTTTTTTGAGAGCGGTAAATACCGACCCTAATTCTGATATTTAATATAGATGAGCCATATTTTTTTCTTATGCTAAACTCAGCAAAGGTTGGTTCCTTTGGTATTCGGGTTGCCTATGAATATGAGCACCATACATTTGCACGAGTTGAATTTGTGCCCGAAGTCGTTCCACCTAGTGTTGTTAAACGACTAGCGGTAAACCACTCGGTTCGTGTCTCGATAAAGATGGCGGCGAAACGCTAACCACAATATTTTGGCTGAAAACTACCACGCAACCCTGGGGATTTTGTTCCATAGGTGAACAGAAAGGTTTGAAACAACTGTTAACGAAATCAGGTGCCTGACTAATATTTTTGGCTAAATTATTAAGTTAGCCATTAAAGAATCGAGCCTACCAAACTCTTCCAAATTGTTAAAACGGTTAGTACCAACGGTATAGAGTTTAAGGAGGAATATTATGGCGCCAAATTAAGGACTAAATATTCTAGTTTCAAGATTTACACTCTAAAATAAATAGATTGCTAAAAAAAAGGACAAAAGTGATACTGATATGTAATCGTTTTTTTTTGTGATTAAAACTTGGTTTTGCCTCAATAAATATCGACAAATTATTTTCCGGTTACACCTTCTATTACAATCAGTTATTTATAACTCTTCGCGCAAAAAATAAATTATGCAAATATAAAATGTGGAGTGAGGTAATAAAATAAATATTTCACCGGCAAATGCCATGACTATATGGTCGTCCAGGGAACATATTTTCCTGATTGTGCGTTCTTCTTGCAATTTGGCGATGGATTTCTTTTCTACTCCCAAGACAACCACGTCTCTACCTCTAACGCCGATCTAAAATATAATTGTTGACATATAAATAGTGGCCAGAAATTTTAAGTGGGATTATCGAAACCTAATAGAAAGTATACATCGGATAGATCAATAATGTAAAATGCTTGGAATTAGGCAGCAGTTATAGTTACCAGGTAATCAGAACAAGATATGAGTGTAAAATGTTAAAAGTCGGATTCGGGTAAGATCATAAACCAAAAATAACATAAGCCTAAAGATTTTGCACATAGCCGGCAGAAATACTTTAAAATCTATTTGCCTAATCTAGACACTTATATAAATATCTAATATCTTAATCGGGCCAGTTTGGCAAATCGATACATCGGACTTTTTAACAATACTAATTTCAATCCGCTTATGTGTCCCTCTTTTAAATCTAACGAAACTCTGCATGATGTATAAACCTATGGCATCTTATTTGAGCTCTAACCCAGTTAGTTTCGGAGATGTGGTGGGTCAAAGCTAAAAACAGCGTCCTACCTAATTCAGGAAAACCGATAAAATAAATAGATAGATAGAAATCTACATGGTATCATAAGATAGCCATTAAATCCCTTTCTTAGATATAATTTAATAGGTGTTTTTTGATTTCCGGAAAATGTAAAGGTTGATTTTTCTCTCTCTCATTTTTAAGTTTTTTAGTTCATTCTTCCATCCAATGAAAAACCTTACTAAAACATTTAGAAATTCCTAGATAATTCTTCTAATTCTGTTGAAGAGTTAACATCTACCAACGAAAGTTGTGAGAATTAAATTTAAAAAAAAGGTTGACCATAAAACAAATAATAATTGAGGTATTTTAAAGTTTTGGAAGCAGGAGATTCCTTTTCAAATTAGCCAGTAAAATTTTATCAGCCTTGGAGATCGGCTTCAAGTGAAAGGTTATCTTATTGAAGGAAAGGCAAAAAGACAAACACGATTAAAATAAATTATTTTGTTTAATATTTATAGAATTATAAAAATAATAAAAAACAGAATTATAATAATTAACTGAATAAAAAAACTGAAAGGTAGGATAGAATAAATTTTCAAAAAAATAAAAAAGTAGCAATAAAATCTTGAGAAAATTTAGAAAATAAATTTAAAACGCCATGAAATTTTCTGGTATACTGTGGACTTTAAGATATTACCTTTCTAGAGTGGTGGGCTATTTAGGGTGTGATTTCTTATTGCCACCATAAGCAAATGATAGGCCATAAATAAATAAATAAATTAGGCTAGCATGCACCTCTATTATCAATCTTGCTGGCACTTTATTTTGGGCATGAAAAGAAAAGGACAAGAATAACATGTTCATTTTTTTTCAAAATTCCTTGATTTAATTATGTTGGTCCATGACAGATCAGCTATAAGTGATTTTTAACCCAAAATGCCTACCCGCTTATTGTTCTAAATTTTTTAACCAACTCACCCATGTTTTTAAAATTTTATCCATTCACCATCTAATTTATCTAAAAATTTGTTTAACCAACCCAACCAATGTTTAAAAATTATTTTATTGGTTGGATAGGTCTTTTATGTTTTTACTTAAACTTATAAAATATGCAATATAGTGAAACAAAAACCCATCAAATGTTTAAATTTTTTTTAGCCATCACACCCATGCCCCTACAAAGTAAGTAAGAGATATAAATCTATGGATTTCAAAGCTGTTAATAAAAATGGAAATGTTCAGTCGAAACCTTCAAAATAAAAATATTTTATATTTGAATGAACCACTAGAAATAAATATGAAGATGATAAATATTAAAAATGCCTATTTATTGGAAAAAATGGCAATAAATACTTTACTCCCTCTTAAAACTGTTCTCTCAAAACTCTATTTTTGCAAATTTGTATTATAGTCTAGGCAACTTCCAAAAAAATTACTCCTTTCTATGAAATCAGAAATGTTAATATTTATTTTAAAATATAGAACTTATTAACTTAAAATATCAATCTTTATATTTTATGTATTTATTTTTCTCTAATATTTTTAAACTAAAATTACATTCTACAATTTACTATCAAAAATTGCATTTAGATAATTTTCTTGATTTTGATCTGTGGTAAAGAAGCAAAAAATTTTGTAGAATAATTTATATAAATTTTAGGTTTATTGGTTGTAGATATTTATAAAAAACGAGATCAATTGTAATTAGGATCAAAATATATAAGCTAGAAAACTTAAGCATAATATCAAAAAGATTTTTTGAAATAAATTTAAAAGTTTACAGCAGTCGATCCTTTGACAACAGCTTCTTGTGCATATTCTACCTGAAAAAGATGTCCGTCAGGAGAAAATACGGTTATTGCACGATCATATTTAGATGCACCATCAGCCATATTTAGTTCCTATAATAACTTAACCATATGAATTGTAATAAAAAATTTCTTACTTTTTAAATGGTTGTAAAAATTTATGAATATATGCTACAACAGACTCAAATTTATTTTTCATAGATCTTGAATAATAACCTGAATTTATTATTTTATCGGGCTTTTAAACAACAGTACCTATGGTGCAGTATATTTACAATTATACAATTTAATATGAATAATGAGAATAATGAATTTTAACTAAAGAATATAATTTTTAAAAAGTGTAATATTTTTGATATTTCTAATAAATATCTACGCATTCTTCGATATCATTATATATATAAATATCTTTGTTCTGGTAAAAGTAATGATGTCACAAATTTTTATTAATTTGGTAAAACGTATGGATATTAATAGAGCAGCGCAAATTGAATTCTAAATACCCAAACAGAAACAGGGTTCGTAAATTTTTAATTAACAAGAGCGAGTTGGTTTATAAAATATGATTAAAAAAATACTTTTACATAATATTATTCTTAGAAGTAGTTATAAAATATATATTTTTTAAGGTTGTCCAAAATATTTATAAATTTCTAAAGTTTTGAATCTTTAATAAACTTAAATTTTAATGAAATCGTATATTAAATCCCTTTATAAAGTTTTCTAAGATTATATCTGTTAATATGTTATTATATTTAGCAAGTCTGGTGATATTGGTATCCGATCCCCGATACAACTTTCCCTCTCACCCTTTATCTCATCTCGTTTTGCTGCACAATCTATCATCGATAATGGATCCACTCCTTCAGATACTGATCTCTTGCAGGCCTTCACCTTTTGGGACACAAATGCTCACCCACCCTTAGTCGTCCCGCTTCCAGCATTTAGAAAAACCGGGATGCTCCTCTGATCGCCCGTTCCGTTGAATACTTATTTCGAACAGGCCCTTTGAGGATAATCCCAATAATTTAGTAAAGCTCAGGTTACGAATGGTTGTAAGCCATCCCATGCTCCAATCATGGCCTCCTCTTGACTGGCGAACACATAGGCGTAGCCAGGATTTTCCTAGGGGGTGGGTAATTGAAAAATTACTGGGGGCTTCGCCCCCAGACCTTAATTGGGCGGGTCGTCGACCCGCTTTTGCTCGGCCTTCGGCCGGGTTACCTTAGTCTATATATAGTTATAAAATATTTTTACAAGATGGGAGGTTTTTATAAAAAAATAAGCCTGGAACAAAAATGAAATATATTTTTAATATAAAAAATATAGTAAATTACTTGTATATACATTATTATAAAAGCATGGTAATAATTTATTCCAAACAAGTATAAGAAATTTATTTATAAAAAGTAAGTAGACATATAGTTGATATTCCTCTATTATATAGAATTAGATACAAAATACTAGGTAAAATTCCACTTTTACAGACATATTTGACAGTTAGAAATATATTATAGATAATTTCTTATCAAATTTTACTAATCAATGCTCTTGATAATATATAGCAACAATTTACATTTAATTATTTTGGCTTATTTATATTCCATTTCTTAAAAAACATTTTTGGTTCACTTTTTTTATATATTGTATAAATTATAATTAATAGTTTTATAAAAAAATATCAAATTTTACATTCTTTCTTTCATATTATTGTTTAAGATATATGCATACATTTTTAGGGGCCAGGAAGTTGGGGGAGGACTAAGGGGGATATTTTTTATTAGCTATGATATTCACAAAAAGTGATAAATTTCTGAAGGGGGGAATTTTCCCTTGCCCCCTCCCCCTGGCTACGCCTATGGGCGAACAGCTACGCAGTTAGCCTTCCACCTTAGCTGTAATGCCTAGCTTCCCTTTATTTGCATAGACTGTGGCCATCCCATCGAATCAATACCATCCCTTGCTCTGCAAGTTCTCCCATGGACCACAACCGCGTGATAAATCTATTAACAACATCCTCCTAGCTGCTCTTAAAAAAGTAAATATTCCATCCACCCTCGAACCAATGGGCCTCTCAAACGAAACCCCATACACCCCGATGGCATATCTCTCATTCCCTAGACCAATGGTCTCCCACTAGCTTGGGACTATATCTGTGTCGATTTGCCACCACCTCTCATTTTCTGCTATCGAAAAAGGCAAAATCCTAAAAAAATAAATATTCTTGCCTCACTAATACCGTGTTTATCCAAATCGTTACCAATACCATAGGCATGTTCGGAAGTGATGCTCTCAATTTCATCAAAACTATAGGAAAAAAAATGAGGCAGATCTCAGGGGACCCCAATGAAGGATTTTACTTTCGTCAGCATGGAAATCTGCCGGTCCTTTTTTTAAGCATTCACTCTTCTCAAGGGTGATTTGTACCCTTTTTTTAAATTTGATTTTTTTAATCTCATTTCTCTTTTATACATACATATATTTTTAATTCATTTTTAATATATTATTTGTTTTTTAATATATATTTTTAATTATAATTTGTTAATGAAAAATTTGTTTTTTAATAAAGTAAAATTATCGAAGAAAAAAAAAGAATAGAAAAAGCTTATTTATTTATTTTCATTTGAGTTTCCAAAGTTTTGAATTTATTTTTTTTGATATATTGAACGTAGCTTAAAATATTGATTATTTATACTACCTTAATTCTCATCTTCCCTCCTATGTCAAATTTAATGACCATTTTATATTTACTTGCAACCGAAATGAATATATTGAAAACTATTTGTTGTGATGACCAAATTGATCGCTATCTATTAACTGATCGTGATCTATTAAATAAAAGATTTATTTTTTTTATTCTTATATTAAATTAACTTTAACCTCGCGGAGACTCGTTTTATAAAATTAACTCAATAATTCGACATAAATAACTTGATAGATTTTGTAAACTATATAAACTTAGAAAATTATTGTACTTACCAGTTAAAAAATATTTTTAAAATAAATTTATTTAATAAAGTTAAAAGTCTGTTTCTCATTTTTTGCCACCCTTAATACTTTTATAACAGATTCTGTCAAACCAACGATATTTGAAAATTTCAAATTTAAGTTGTATGGAAAAATATGAGCCTTTTCCAAGTAAGCCAAGAGATAAATTCATAAAAAAGATTATTGAACAAACACGCACTATTAACTACTAGACACTTAATTCTTTATTTACATCAACGTCTCTAATAAGGATCTTACAACCCCCCCTCCCCATAAACAAATTACGGTTTAACTCTCTTTAAGTTGTCCCCTTCCTCCTATTAATAGTATCAACACCTCATCCTCAACTTAAAATTATCATGAAAAACAAAATGAAGGAAATACATATCATATGACCTACTCGCCTCAAATTATATTTAAAAGACGATTGGCGAAAGTGTCTTCTAAACAACCGAAACCTTATCCCAAAATAAAAATTGATCTTATGTCATGTACCCCCCACCCCATCTCTAGTAAAAATTGCTGTAACATTCAACAATCTGTTTAGTCAGTAGATATAGCTCTTTCGTGAGGAAAGGACGGTGAATTTGAAATAGTAACATCTATTCAAATTTTATATTAAGGTTTTTCACTATTTGAAACTTTATTTAATCAAATGAAATGAAAGCCTTTATTTTAAAACTACTAGAGGGCGGCCCTTGGAAACGTTGTCCACAAAACATTATTTGGAAATTATATATATTATATAAAAACAATGACATTAATAAAAAATTGCTGCAATATTATTATAAATTTTATTCAAATTAATTGATCAAATGACCATCCATCCAATAAAAACCCTAATCAAAATTATTTCAGGCATCATAATTCAGGATAAGAATAATAAAGAAACATGGTTAGTGATAATCAACTGGCAGTTACTAACTGTTATATAAAAGGTCAAACTGGGTTATAATATTACCTTTTAAAATTATTTATATAAATGAGTAGAGCGGTTAATACTCAATAAAAATTTCATCTTAGAAAATATTTCAAAAATAATATATGAAAAAGTTATAGTTAGCATATAGGCATTAAGTACTATACTAATTTTATGTCTATATAAATAAGGATAGAAGGAGTGGGGGTTAGGTAACTGCTTCCTAGGGTAGGGAGTAGAATATATTTTAATTTTAGAGATAAATGGCACATTGCCTCATTCCCTCATGAAGATGCAGTGTGTCTGCTTTATTCATAGGAGTATAAATAGCTTCTTGTGAAACTTTATTTTTAATACTAAAAAAAGTTCTAAATATGAGAGAATCCAAGAAGGAAGATCGTAAACAGAACCTAGTATTATCGGCTTATGAAAAAAAAGACATAACCTGCATATCCTCTTAATCCATATTCCTATTTATCTATTATTTTATCAGGTGGCGAAATAGGAAGCATAATCTTATCCATTCCCGTAAATGGCCTCCAATCAACCTCTATCCCCGCTTGATATACCTCATCCTTTGATCAATTCACAAACATTTTTCCATAACTACCAAGCTTTTCGACAAAATCTTACATGTGGTTGTTCAAATATGTTTCCACTAATCATCTAAATATTGACTTTCTGACCAATAAAATTTGCAATTACGGGATTTTAGTGAAGCCATATTAATCTAAGCACGGGCCAGGCAGTATATTTTAAAACCAACTTTTTATAAAAATCTTCATTATTAGCTACAAGTCTATGGAAATTAAGGTTAAATATAGGCTAGACCACAGAGACGGGCAGCTAGAAAAAAGAGAAGAGATTCAGATATGTAAAAATAGGATATTTTACTTTCAAAAAAATATTATATAATATAATTATGAGATCTTAGAGCCGGGCCGTAATATACCCAGGCCGGGCCTTAAAATATAAAACTCGGACCGTGCCTTGATAATGGCACCTCTACAGGTCTTTAATATAATTCTAATAAAATATAATAAAATGAACCATATTTTTCCTAAATAAAATTGCTTTTCATTAAACTTTTTTTAAAAAAAAATTGTATATATTTCTGATTTTAGTACAAAAAAAAATTAGAGAATACAAAATTAAACATAAAAAATTATTTTAAATTTATATAATTATTTTAAAAAAATATAATAATTTATACAAATTTAAATCTAAAAAATTATTTTGCGGAAAAGGGGTAGTTTTGTAGTTAGGAAGGCTGGATCGATATAAAGTAAGAGAACGAATCCAATAGTACGAACGAACAAATTGAACAAAACGCTGCGTTGCAAGCTACAATAATGCCTTTCAAAATGGCCTCGTGTAAATTGGTAAGATTACCGTTTGGCATTAATGAACAAGAATAAATAATACAGAATAAATAGTGAGCTATTGTATTGAATAATTAAGGAAGAATGATGATTTTATTTTCAACTAAGATCAAAAAACAACAAAAGTAAAAGTAATCATGATCATTTAAGTATATATACAAAATTAACATCAATTTAATATTAAATAAAAATCATTGTATAACTTTTCAAAACATCAATTTAATATTAAATATAATATAATATATCGTTTTAATCCTTAAATCTTCTACAATACAAAATCCATTAATAAACATTGTTACTTGTATTTAACAGGCATTATCAACCATTAAAAAAAAACGCAAATAGGTGTTTGCATTTTTTGACTACTTTTTTTATTCGTTGTTTTGTAATATTATATAAAAATGTAATAAAAATAACTTACTTATAAATCCTAAAAGAGGAAAGGAATATTTAGAAATGAAAGAAATAAGAAGGCAGACGATAATATTAATTTTCAAAGAGAAATCCTTTATTTAAAACTTGTTTAAAATTTTGAATCGACAATACTAATAAATAGGCAACCTCTATTTAGACAAGGGATGCGTTAGTTTTTTTTATTAAAAAATTACGGCAAAACGTAAACGCTCAATTTGTGCGCCTGCGCACTATAATAAATAGAAAGTATTAGTGTTGCACACCTTTTTAAGACACGTAGCTTTTTTAAAAAAAAATAAACAGTACCGTTTTAACTATGTTTAAACAACAATTTAAAAAAAGAGTTATCTATTGAAAAGGATTAGCTTGAGATCGGTTAGATCAGAATTACATATGTTTAATAGGGATTTTGCCCTGGTGGTAATAAAAGAATCTATTTGCCCTCAGAATTTGAAGTATCTTTTTTTTTTTATTAAATCAAACAACTATAACGAAAAAAAAATGTAAAAATGTAAATGTTATCAATATTATTGATCTTTATATGACAATAATCGAATGTCGCAATGTGTACTTATTTGAATTATCTATTATATTTTAATCCCTCAACTAGTGTTGTTAAAAAGCCGGGTTAGGGTCGATTTTATAAAACGGCTCGATTAAGATTATAACCAAAGTAACACTATGTAAGTAAGTCTAAAGATTTTACTTCATAGCTGGCATGCTTGCACATCTATTTTGCCGAATCTCGATGTAAATTAATTATCATTTTAGCTAAAATCTTGATCGAAAAATCGTCCCTACCTTCGATTGAATAATAATATCACGAAATTAAACAATAATCAATTATATGCCAATCACGATGACAGTAATGTTGTAATTATATTTTTGCGGATGATATATATATAAAGATATAATAATAAATAATAATCCTTGATTGACAGCTCTCTCGACACTCCAACGCCCAATCACAACATAAGTAATTTTGTTTTTCTCGTTAATATGGTGACTTTATTTCTGGATCTGATCACGTCATCATAAGGAGGACTCCTACATTAATATTATAGGTCAAAATGAAATATAAAAAAATACCTAAAATTTTTCTGTCCAAAATATAAATTTAACCGACACGGTTGTATTCCATCCAGAAGGGAAAATAATTTAATAAGTATGCAAATAAGAAATTAGATAAAATACGGTACGATTAAAATATGAAGGTTTGGTAGATTGCATCTGTTGTCTGTATAAGAAAAAAGAATATGCCAAGATAAGGTTAAGGTCTGTTATAAACGTTATCATATATTATGAATATTCAAAATGAAATGGTTCCTCAAGGGAAAAAGTAAAAGATTGATCTTTTTTATTTTTAATTTCCAATCCTAATAGTAAAAAATTCGATAAACCTAATTGCCTCCATTTTATAGACGAATTATTTGATTATACTATTGGGGAAACCTTATATTTTTTTAAAATATTCTTTCTTTCTTTCTTTCTTTCTTTCTTTCTTTCTTTCTTTCTTTCTTTCTTTCTTTCTTTCTTTCTTTCTTTCTTTCTTTCTTTCTTTCTTTCTTTCTTTCTTTCTTTCTTTCTTTCTTTCTTTCTTTCTTTCTTTCTTTCTTTCTTTCTTTCTTTCTTTCTTTCTTTCTTTCTTTCTTTCTTTCTTTCTTTCTTTCTTTCTTTCTAATAGGTAAAAATATGTCACTTTTTTGTAAAAAATAATAAGCTTATACATTTAAAAATTTTAAAATATACTAATTTTCAAATGCATAAATGAATTAAATGGATATTTGAAAATTCTAAAATTAATCGTATTTAAAAAAAAAATTCAAATAGCAGCATTAGAGTTTGAAAACATGGTATGCTTTTCTCTGTCACACAGCACCTGGAAAAAGAATGAATCTAGTTTAGCAAGACGATTATTCTCTTTAAGAATTGAAGGTCAACTGCAGTTGCCTTCCTTGTTAATCGCTAAAGCGGCTATTCCTCATAATAGAGGATATTTATAAATTTTCATAACCTTTACTCTTTAATGACATTTTTTAAATCAAATCAATATATGATAAAAACCTTGATCATTAAAGAATTCTCAAAAAAATAAATTATTTTTTTGAAATCGATATTAACATTTGGCACAGATGGAAACACCTTATTGTTTAATGAAAATTTTTTTTAAAGACATGTGACATTAATATATTAATTTAGTATATAAAAAGTTAAATTTTTAAAAAAATTATGCAAAGGTCGAGATAAGGGGGAAGGGGGTGTAATTGAAGTCAGGAATGAATAAATGAAAGAGGAAATAAATATATAAATAAAATAAAAAGAACAGAATAGAATAGAATAGAAAAAACTGTCCCCTTGAACAAAGTGTGTTAATGAGAAAACCAAAAAAATGATTAAAATTTACTCCATTTTTTTTGGACTGACTTTGAAATTATCGAAATTTCGGTATTTTATTTTTTTTTAAAAATAAAATTTCTGATATTTTTAAAAAATCATATATAATAGAAAAATCTTTAAAAGTTGATCTAAAACTTTTTATTATTAAGAAAATAATTTCGCATGGAATTGAATTTTCTACAAAAATTTTAAATATTTTATTCGTGGATTTTTATTGTGTGATATTTTCTCCTTATTTGATTTCATTTTGTAATTTTTAATATCTTAAAAAACGGGGAACAATTAAGTTAATTTAATCCCAATACTTTTCTAAGAACTCCTTTTATGCGCTACTGCATTTGTGATTTGTCTTTTTACAATTCTATATTTTGTCGAAAATATGATTTTCTTTAGGCTGTGTCCAAAATATCGAAAAATTAAATTCGCAAATTTTCGAAACTTGAATGAAAATAAATAAATAAGCTATTTTAAATATAAAAATAAAAACATATCCAAAATTTAATTCTAGAAAATTTTATAAAAATTTTATTAAAATTTGTGAAAGTTTTGAACTCTTGGAAATTATTTAAAAAAGATTTGGACATAACCTTACTAAAAAAAACACTCAATTAAGTTTTAAAGATAACATTTCTCATGTTAGAATCTACAGATAATTTTTTATTTATCAAACATATGTTGTCTTCTAGCTTTCTCTACTGAATAGAATCAATGCTTTTATAATGCTCACAAATTGACCGTTTACTGCGTTGCAAAAGCCAATAATGCATTTTAAATGGCATTGTGAAAAATTGGTAAAAATTACCGTTTTTAGCAACCATTTAAACAGACGCAACAAGTTTTGCATTTGTTTTCATTTACTTTTATCTTCATTTTGAAATATTACACAAAAATGTAATAAAAGGAATATATTTAAGAATTAAGGAAAGTAAAAAGGCAGAAGATAAGATAATTTTCAGACTTTGTTAAAATTTTGAATCGACGATATTAATAAAAAAAAGGCAACGTCAATTTAAACGAGGGACGCGTTACGTTTTTTTATTTAAAAATTGCGGCAAAACGCCAACGCGCTTGCGCAATATTATTTAGAAATTAGGAACACAAATTAAGGCTTCAACCAGTTTTAAGATTATCATATTATACTAGCACGAAAAATTTGTTGTGGACACAAGAATTTTCTTGGGGGAGGAGGGAATGGGGCTAAAGACACTTTTCAACATAGTTATGTCCCCTGCAACAATATGACAATAATAAATCACAATTTTAAGTATTTATAATTTTAATAATTTTTTTTTAAAGTTTAGTTTATTATTATTTGTATTGTTTAGTGTGTATATTTATATTATATATTAGATAATTAATAATTTTAATCATAGATTTTTTAATAGAATAAAATATACATAGATTCTCTAGTAAAAAAAAGAAGAAAATTAACAGCTGTTTTAAGTATAATTTTTTGTGTTAAAAACAATTCATATTTTTATATAAATATAATATAAAAGTAGAACATTGTTTAAAAATAATCAAAAGGGAATCCATAATAATTCTTCTGCTACCCCCCCCCCCCCCCCCCCCGAATTTCTTTCTCAATTCCCTGTCTACATGATATTTTTTTAAAAAATGAACGAATGAAAGAAATAAATAAAAATGAAAGAAAGAAAAGAAATAAATAAAGAAATTAATTATTTACTTAAAATATTTATTTTTTCATTTCCATTATGTGAATCACCGATTTGTTAATAAGATTTTTATTCTTTTCAATTTTTTATCGATATAAAATAAATATTTGTAAAAATAAATCTTAATTACCTTTAACCACTTTATATATATATTTTTAAAAAGTTCCCGATTTGATTAAAAAAAAAAAAAAAGGAAGATTCATTACTTTTTTCTACATATGATTATTTTTTAAACTATATTCCTGGAGGATATATCCGTATAGTAAATCCATTTTTCATAATTCCTATACTGGGTTGCGTTTTATAGGTAATTTTTTTTTAATAACCGAATTCATTTTTTTTTTTTCGAAAGCGATAATTTATTAATGCGCGACTGTCCTAGAAAGTTATATTTTTACATGTTGTTTACATATTAATATATTACTACTTTAGGAAAAAAAAGTAAAGTCAGCTCTGTCTTATTTTATATGAGGAAGGAAGGAGTTTAGTACTTCTATCGAAAATTAAGCCGAACAAAATTCCCTACCATATTCCTTCCGGTTTAAGAAATTTGATCGAGACCGAACTATGATCCTCACTAAGACACTGAGCAGCAGGCCCGAATTTATTTAACTATAGAAATTAATTTTTATAATTACTATCCCAGTTTGATGGGTTTTTTCGTAAGAGAACCAAGCGTTGCTCTGTTGTATACATAACTTTTGCTATATCTACGACGTTTAGGGCTAGTGCGCTTAATATTACGTATCACGTAAAATAAAAGACATGTGTAGCGTTTAGTTTCAATAAATTAGATCAAAAAATTTTTTATTTTACATAAATTTTTTTTTATATAAAATTGATAAATTTCGATATATTTAATAAAATTTCCAAGATCCGATCCGACCCGACCCGAATTTTTTTTAAAAATATTAGGCTCGACCCGGCCCTAACCGGTCCGAACCCGATTATTTTAAATAAAATTCTTCGGGCCGGGCCTAACTTTGCAGGTTTATACACCTCTTACCCTACACCTCCAAAACTGATTTTAAGGAAATTTATGAATTTAAATAAAATCTAATTTATTTTTGGAAAATACCTTTTTAAAAATCATAAAAATTGAAGATTTTTTTTCGGAAAAAAAAAATAAAATTTATGATTTTAATCATGAAAGATTTTTATGCATAAAAATCATTTAAAAAATTTGGAATTTTATCAAAAATCCTGTACCCCCCACGGAGTTCTTTATCTTGCTATATCTTCAATCGTTATAGTGCGCATAAATTGAGCGTTTCAAACGCCGCGTTGCAAGCGCAAATAATGCATTTCAAATGGCTACGTGCAAATTGGTAAAATTACCGTTTGGCGTTAGCAACCATTTTAAAAACCGGAAATAGGTTTTTTTCATTACTTTTTTTTTTATTCTTCGCTTTGTAATATTATATAAAAATGTGATATAAATAACTTCTATCCTAAAAAAAGGAAAATTTAGAAATTAAAGAAAATAAGAAGGCAGACGATTTTTATAACTTATTTATAATTTTTGAATCGGCGGATATTAAAAGACAACCTCGATATACAAGGGACGCGTTACGTTTTTTTCATTAAAAAATTACGGCAAAACTAAAAATTTAAGTGCACGGCACTGCACTGCATTATTCTATTTGTTTTTAGTAGCTTTTCATTCAACAACAAAAAAATAAAAATTTTTGGCTGTAAAAATTTACGGAAAAGGGACAATTACAAATCGACAGATTACAACAGTATGCATCGAGATTTGGCAAATAGATCTCCCAACTTTCATAATGTTATTTTTGGTTGTAATCTTAATCGGGCCGGTTTTTAAAATCGGCCCGAATCCGGTTTTTAACAACACTATTGATTGAGGCCCAACCTTTTGTAAAATAATTTTTTTTATATTTATTTAAATCCAGTTCAAATTTTTAATTTAGAATATTTAGATATAGACGCGAAAAAAAAATGAATACTAACACTAATTGGCATCACAGGGCGCAAAAAATAGTATTATTAGGAGTAGAAATGTTATAAAAATTCCGTTGATTCCCAAATGGAAGATGTTCTTTAATTGCACATACTTTCAAGGCAGGTATGCAAGCTGTCATAGTCTTACCAAAATGATATATATATTATTGCAATCACCTTATTGATAAAAAAAATGAGCCACAAGGAAAAATTAAGTGAAATTTATTGACAATTTAAACAAAATAATGGATGAATTGAAATTGCGATAGGATCCTTACGAGACCCATAAACATTTTTTAGATGCATTTATCAAATGTTTGTTTACAATAAAGTCTTTCTGGAATATTCGTTTCGATGTAAACAAATCTAAAATCTTGTTGTTTCATCATTATTCTTGATTGGCGTAACCGAAGTTTGTTCTCGTAACGACGAGCGAATACGGAATTTCATTTAAATTTATCCATGATCTCGGACCTATTTTTTAAAAAAGAAATCGTGTTCTGGCTGGGTCGGGTCTAATATTTTTAGAAAAATTCGGGCCGGCAAAACTCTTTAAAAAATATTTTGGGTTCGGTTCGGGCCGGTAAAACTCTTTTCGGGTCGGGCCCGGCCGGGCTCGAAAAATTAGGCCCGATGCAGATAACTTCTCATATATGTTAAATCTCAATCTTTGCTTTATATAATAAATTGAAATAACATAACAAGGTGATGATATCATATATTAGATCGTATAATATATGCTTGTAGTTAAAAATAAACCGTACCAGATGGATTACACATTTTAGTGTTTCTTTATAAGGAACAATAATCTGGCTTAAAATTTGAATAAATAAAATTTATTCCTCATAGAACTTTCTGTATACTGAGACATCACAGATCTTTTCTAAACCTTCATCATTTTGGGGGTTCCTAACTTGTATATTTTTTTTAGAATTCTAGTCACTCTTCTCTCAACAAACTTTGGCTAAATTTTGTAAATTGACTTCAAAAAAGGGAAAATTAAGAAATACGACCTCCGCTTTTGGGTACGGTCATTCTTAAACATTTTTTTTAAAATCAAAATCTTTTCTCTATTTTATTTATCTCCTTTTCCTTTCTTTTATGACTTATTCGTTTTTTTCTTCCTCTTCATCTTAAGTCATTAACCAATTCATTTAATATGGAATTAGGGGGGGGGGATCAATCATCTGCTATTTCTCCTTGCCTTACTACTCTACATACATATAAATTAATAAGTAAAATGATATTTTTAAATAAATTTAAATTTAAAAAATAAATAACGATTAAAAAAAACAATTAAAATGAAGACATGCCATCATCTTAATAATGCATGCTGAAAGATAAAAGAAAATCCAAGCTTTAGAGAAACGAATTTATTCTCATTAAAAGAATAAAAATTTAATAACCAAACCAACAAATACCATATGATTTTTAAAACATGGTTTTATTATACCAATTTTTTTGTGCCAACATCTTGATATAAGGAAATAACTATGGAGGAGGAATAATATTTAAAATGAGGTTTTGTTCCGATCCGAATCTTAGTTCAAAATGGATTTCCGTTTCCGGTTATTTTTTCAAATAGATTTTTCGCCACTTTGCGGTAGTTCGGTTCATTTTGGCATTCACAATTTTTCGATTTTATTTAAAATTAATCAAATAAAATAAAATATTAGTTTTTGATAAATTTTTTTAGCAAAATTATTATTTTATAATGAGATGTGGTATTCATTTTTTCTTTGGAGAGAGGGCAGCTGGGGGAGCATAGCCGCCGACTTCGTAAGGGGGTGCAGAGGTATGCTCACCCCCCCCCCCCCCCCCCCCCCTACCCCCTCCCCCCCCCCAATTGAAATATTCTATAAAATAGATTAATTCATACATTAATATTTTAAACATCAAATTTTCTTTAGAAAATTTCCAGTCCCCTTCATAAATTTTTATAAGTCGTCCGCCTCTGTAAGAGAGTGTATATGCACAGTGAAGGGGAGGTTAAAAAAAATTTTGATTCTCCATTGGGGGGGGGGGATCCTCTTTTCTTCTTAGCTACATCTGTGCCGTGAAGGTGAACTAACAGATATTTTTTTTAAAAAAAAAGCAGTTAAGGCTAGAAGTTAAGTAGAGATACTAAATATTAATAAAAGTGGTTGTTAAGATTCAAAGCAATATTGTTTTGAAGTAGGTATTTTGCATAAAGGCCGACGAGGCCAAGTTCCACCCGAACTGACCCGTCGTTTTTATCGGGTTTCTGAGGGTCGTCAGCTCGGCCGTAATTATTTTTAACCGATCCGTAAAAATATTTCGAGCAATTTGTCCGACCCTGTCCAAAAATGTTCTTCTACCTTCAACCCTCTAAGACCGTGCTGACATCTAATTCCAGACACGCTGGGAAACATTTCCGGCATCAAAAAAATCCCAATAAAATGATTTAGAAAAATTATTCTATATTTGCCAGAGATAGGACACTAACATTATTTAACACGATATTATAATACTAAATAACTTTTTTTTAAGGGTCTAAAGCGAGTGGTGCCATTTTTACTGTCATACAGAATTTCTTTATAATTCTTCTCTAACATATGCTCTAACCTTCCCTATCGCAGAAAGTAAAGATGAAAGATCTTCCTATTACACCTTCCTCAGACGATGCCAATTTCTCACTTAACAATAATGCTCTCCTTCCCAAATCTAATCCCTCTCTTACCCAAAATGCTTTCAAATCAAAAGATGTTTTAAAAGGAGATAGTTCTATAAATGATTTAGAAGTCGATTCTGGCACAGAAAATGAGGCAGCACTTATTCCCAGGGTATCCATGTTGAATTTCGACGATCTGCTAACAGATGACGTTGTTTCATCATCTACCGCAATGTCTACTTCAACTGCCAGCGCAAATAACAAAGATGGCGATGATCGCGAAACTGTATCCTCCTCCGGAATCTATTCGGGACCTAGCAGGTTTTGTATATTTATTTAAGTTATACCTACATAGTCTGACTCTGAATATACTTTCAAACACGTGATATATCTTCCATATTGATATGGACCAGATAGACTAGTATATTCAGAGTTCCCTAGAAGCGCGTTTTAACAACAACTTGAATAATTTCTCCCCAGGTGGTCACCTGTTCTGGATCCATGTACCAGACTTCTCAAACACCATCGGGGACTATTATCCTTTTTCTTTAATATTGGAAGATATCGGATCTGATTAGTAAAAACAAAATTTTAAAAATATATGTCAATGATCATCGTAATGATAATACATTTTTTATTTCGATTAATTCTTCAAGGCTTCAACGCTGTTAACCTCGATATACCTAACCTGAGGTGGTGTTGTTAAAAGGCTAGATTCGAGTCGATCCTTAGAAACGGCAAACTCAATATTTTATCCGGAATAAGATACAAGCCGGAGGAGTTTGCTTTTAGATGGCACAAAGGTCTACTGGACACTTATTAGCGGAATCACGAGGCTTAGGCCATATTTTTTCCGGCTAAAAATATCGAGTTAGCCGTTTCTAAAAACCGGCTTAAAACTAGCCCTTAAACAACATTACCAACCTGAATATATTGTTTTATTTCAAATATATTCTTTTTTTCATCCTATGTTTTAACATATATAAATTACTTTCTTTTTATACTTTTCAATTTTCTTTCTTTCAAAAGTTTCATTTCTCTAATTCTGCTTTGTTGTTCTAATCATTTATTTATCACATTTTTCTAAAAACATTAATGACTCGCGAAGTCTAAACACGGTGTCTCTCCGTCTTAACATTTTCGTCTTATATAAGAACCATAAATTTTCTAATATACTTCTCCGCTATAATATTACTAAAACAAACGTAAAATCTCATAAAATTTAAAGTTATTTATCATATTAATGCTGTCTTTTAACTTTTCCGATCAGGCTTTTCTTTTTCAATCAGCTTTCCCATCATTTTTATTAATTCTGACAATTCCCTTTGTTAAAGGAAATTCAACAATTCCCACGCACAATAGCTATTTATTACGTTTAAGCTGGGTTCTAATCGAAATGGTATAATTTATACCTAACCCTAAGATACTGCCATATTATTTATATATACAACTGAAAATTTGGTTCTTAATACTGAATTCTTTTTTTTTACAAACATTGGCCATTTTGATTTTGAAAGATCTGTCATTAACGATGAATGAATTTCAGAATATATTGAGTAAACTTACCATGATATTTCACAAAATTTTATCATCATATTTTGCCGTATATTTTTGAAGTTTATTAAAAAAAAATGAATGTAATATGCTAATATTCAAAATTTCAGCGCCAAATTTCATAATTATTATTTTTTATTTATTTCATAATAACGCACATAAGTAAAATATGTCAAAATAAAATAAATTAAGAGCATGTCAATGACATAATAATGCCTAGATTGACAATGCATTCATTCAAAGTGTACATCAATGAAAAACAGCTGTGGACGCCATTTTGGTTACCTATATCATTATCAAAAATTTTAAAAGAGATGCCAATTTATTCCTATGTCTGAGACGCTATCAATTTAATAGTAGTTTTTTATACCCGAGAATAATGACCATATAGGTCACCAAAAATGGTGGCTCCAGCTGATTCGCATTCAACGACGCTTTCTAACGCATCATTAGGAACGCATCGTCAGTCTGTGTATTATTGTATATCATTGGAGTATAACCAACCAATAAAATAATTTTAAAATATTTCGCGGACCGGTTAAACAAATTTTTCTAAGCGGGTGATTTTTTTAAAAAAAACTACGGGCGTATCAGCCGGTTAAATAATTTTTTTTTAAAACAACGGGTTCGGTTTTTTAGGTTGAAACTCCGTCCATTGGCAGATCTCACGTGGTTACTCTATACATGCTAAAATTCATTTCCGGTGAAATCAAGAATTTTCAAAATTAAATAAAATGGCCTTCTGGAATCTGTTTGAAATTAAAAGATTTCGAAACCAATATAAGGAGAATTATTGATTAATTAGTCTTTAGTATTCCTAATTAAAACTCACCAAAATATATATTAGCTATAAATTCTTCCTTTTATTTTTCGAAGCTTAATCACGAGATAGTCATTTTATAAGGAATGGCAAAACTTACAACTAGAGGAAAAGATTTAGTAAGTTAGTATATGTAGCTAAACGAAGATCCGATATACATTCCTTCCACAGGTATTGTCAAGTTTCTCCTTGCTCCGATTCGTCTAAGGACTCCTCCTCTTTTAATAGCGTGATCGATATCAGTCGGGATAACGAATCATCGTCTAACAGGGATGAACTGCGGAACGATATGAATCTGAGAGGAATCAAGGATTTTAATAAAGGGATCAACGGAATAGGCGATGCGTTGAATAAGGGAGGAATAGGTGGAGCGATGTCGAAAGTTACGAAAGATAGAACCAACATTTACGATAGTAATCAATCCATGATGTCTTCATCCGTTTCTTCCTATTCCTTGAGGTAATGGATTTTTTTTTATCATTATGTGAACATCAAATTGACCAGTGCTTTGGTAATTATTTAAGATTATAAATTGGGTATAAATCTACATTCTAAAAGCGCTAAGCTCAAATAGATTTGGAGAAACGAACCTTCAAAGTCGAGGTTCTAACAACAGGAAGAGTTTTTTAAACAAAATGGCCACCCAGCTGATTTATTTTATTTGTTGCATTTGTTTTCGCTCTTCATTTTATTTTATTCTAAATTTTTTTAAAAAATATTCAATATTTATTGATCAACAAAATTAAAAAAAAAATATTATTCGATAAAATATAAGCCAGTTCTATTCATTTTCTCCCGGAAAAAAATAATATTTAAATTCGTGAGTACGCTAGCGGTTAGCCTATCAACCTTCCCGCCTACCCCAGTCCCAGTCTGCCCAACAGCCTACCCAACCTACCCCAGTCTGCCCTCCCGCCTAAATGATTTAAAGTTGAAAAAATAACACATTGCCCGGGAAAAACACATTGACGCTTAACATACATTTTTTTCATATCCTTTTTAACATCGATATAAGTGATCTGCATCGGGTCAAATTTTTCAAGCCCGACCCGAATTTTTTTTGAAATATTTTGCCAGACCCGACCCGAACTCGAACCCGAAATTTATTTGAAATATTTTGCTCGACCCGACCCGAACTCGAACCCGAAATTTATTTGAAATATTTTGCTCGACCCGACCCGAACCCGAACCCGAAATTTATTTGAAATATTTTGCCCGACCCGAACCCGAACCCGAAATTTATTTGAAATATTTTGCCCGACCCGAACCCGAACCCGAAATTTATTTGAAATATTTTGCCCGACCCGACCCGAACCCGAACCCAAAATTTATTTGAAATATTTTGCCCGACCCGATCCGAACCCGAAATTTTTTTGAAATATTTTGCCCGACCCGAACCCGAACCCGAAATTTATTTGAAATATTTTGCCCGACCCGATCCGAACCCGAACCCGAAATTTTTTTGAAATATTTTGCCCGACCCGATCCGAACCCGAAATTTTTTTGAAATATTTTGCCCGACCCGACCCGAACCCGAACCCAAAATTTATTTGAAATATTTTGCCCGACCCGATCCGAACCCGAAATTTTTTTGAAATATTTTGCCCGACCCGAACCCGAACCCGAAATTTATTTGAAATATTTTGCCCGACCCGATCCGAACCCGAACCCGAAATTTTTTTGAAATATTTTGCCCGACCCGAACCCGAACCCGATCTTGCCCGACCCGACCCGGCCCGAACTTAAAAATTTTTTTTGAAAAAATTTAACGGCCCGGCCCGAATTTATTTAAATATAGAAATTAATTTTTATAATTACTCAACAAAAGTAAAAGATATAATGGCGTCTAGTTTCTATAAATAAAATCGAATATTTTTTATTTTAATGCAAAATATTGAACATAAAAATTGATAAATTTAAGATATATTTAAAAAAATTTTCAAGGCCCGACCCGGCCCGAATTTTCTTAAAAAATATTAGGCCCGAACCCGAACCCGAGATATTTTTAACTGCCGGGCCGGACCGGGCCGGGCCGGGCCTACTTTTGCAGATCTCTAATTGAGATATCATTAAAAAAATCATTTAAAATTTAATTATTTTAAGTTATTCGAAAAACATAAAAATATATTAAAAATTTTTTTTTTTAAAAAAATCCTCCTATCCATGATGATAATTCAATTTTTGGGATTAAGATCTAATCCCTGGAGCGAACTTATTTTTCTGCTTCCCACTGGATTTTGGACCAAAAATTGTCCAACCAATCCGATTTCTAGAATTTTTTTAAAAATCTTCATGTACAGAATCCAATATTATTCTTGAAAATCCCTATTCCCGATTCAGATTTTTTAAATATATATATTGAACTGTGTTCTTAAAAGCACAATATTATCATTTCTAAACGACGCACCATTTTCAAAAATTTGACCTTTTTCGTTTTACCGGATGGGGCCATCTTAACACGGAAGGGGCATCACGCCATTAAAATCTTAGGGTGCATCTCTAGGTAGGGGGGAGGGCACGGGGGACTTTTAATCCAGATATCTATATGTCCCATCAGAGAGGCATTCGAATCATTTACAAGGGGATAGGTATCTAGAGAGTTATGTATATCACTAGAAATATCATGGGCACTCACGGAGAGTTCCAAGTGCTGCGAATTAACATATGATTTCTCAAAATATTTATAGATTCGCTTAAAACCGTGCCTAAATCTCCGGATCTATGCTAACGGGGATATGTAATAATCAGTAGAGATTATTATATAACTCTATTTTGAATCATTTACTGAGAGCCATTTTTAAATGTGGAAAAATCTGATTAGAAACACGGAAATGCACTCTAAGCATGTGTAGAGTATACCTACATGAATTTTAGATATTTTTACCATTTCTTCTATTTAAGTGGAATACGTGTGTATTAACGAAGACACCATGTAAAAAACTATGATTAAGAGAAAAAAAAAGAAAATTAAATTAGGAGTAATTCAGAAGTTAACTCAAAAATTTAACATTATGGGTATACTCTCTATAGCAAATTTATAATTTACCCTAAGTGATTCATTTACTGAGAGATTCCAAATCCCTGTAGAATCCATTTTCCATTAAGAACAGTCCTGTTTCATTTATTCATAAAAATTAGGCCCATTTAAAATAAAGGCTTGATCATTTTAATTTTTTTAAATATACCCGGGCTGGGCCTGGAAATTTATTTAAAAAATAATCCGGGCCTGACCCTATATTTTAGAACAAATATTTGAAATCGCCATTATTAGCCATAAAAATTATGAATAAATAAAATATATTTTAAAAAAATACGGGCCGGGCCGGGCCGGTTCGGGCCGGGTCGTACAAATGGTACCTCTGATATGATACAATAATATAAATATATTAAGGTACCAAGATGCGGATAAAGTCAATTGCAACGGCTTGGAATACGATGATTTGAAGAGAGGTTATGAGAAGAAATTAAGGGACAAGGATTCCATCATATCCGATATGAGGTGAAATGCCTTTCTTTTTTATCATATAATAGACAGAAAGAAAGAAAGAATGAAAGAAAGAAAGAAAAGATAAGAAAAAATAAGGGATCGATGAATGATTCGCAAATATTGTTTTAAAAAACTATTCAGAGACGAAAACAGGAGAGAAAGCGTGAAACTGAAACAAAGGTACGAACAAGAACGAATAGAGTTGAATCTATACGCCGAAGAACAAAAGAGGTTGTACACTGATGCACTAGCCCAAGCCAAGGAATACAAAAGAGATTTGCAAGTTAAGCAGTAGTATTATTTTTTATTTTTTTTTAGTGCTGTATACTTTACTTCAGAAAAGATGTTACTCGTTGCGTTTGATGAAAAGGAATGCGTTACAGTTACTTTATAAAGAAAAGTATCTGTTGCATCTGAGATCATAAGATTATTTGTAGGGGACGTGGAAGGGACGAGGGTAGTCAAAAGAATTTTTACTCCAATTAGGGTTAAGATTAGGAGGACTAGCTTTAACCGGACTGATGATGGAGAGCATCTAAAATAAATGCGCACAACGTACTACACATGTCAATAGATATATCTTTTTTTTACAGGGGTCCGAGGATAGATGACCTTTTAAGACTGGTAAGGTTGAGCACCTAAAATAAAAATGGCACACAGGCGCACTTCACATGTCAATATAGTATATCCTTTATTTTAGAGTGGTAGGGGGATATAGGGACTAATGTGTCATTTAAAAAAAATCAAATTTGACGTAGAACAAGTGGAAGGTCTATCCACAAACAATTCCATCCTTTTATAGGTTTTTATCATCCTTAAATATGTGGAAATTTTAGCCAATCATAACATCAAAACCTTTTTATCAACCAATCCGGTGTCTTAGAATTAGCGCAACTCCCTTAGACCACACATATATCAATGTGGTAGAAAATGTGGTTAAATAAATACAGCCTATTAAAATTAATCAATTAAATATGTTGTAAACACATCAGTAACAAGTGACGAAATGGCGTTCCTTTTCCTCAAAAAAGTAACGCAATTAGTAACAAGGTTATTTACCGACCTTACTTTAAATTTTTCTAATTTATCAATCTTTCATTTTTTCCCTCTATTTATTTATTTATTATTTTATTTTAAATTTCTATTTCTATTTTCTTTTAATTTTATTTTTATAAATCTTTGAGATTTATATTTATAATGTTTCTTCTAAAAATCAAATATACAAAAATATCATTACAATATTTTTTGAAGGATAAAAAATGGCAATTGGAGATGATTCAGAACGATATTACGACCAACAAGGATTCCTGCAATCTGCTGCAGAGGAAAATAGACTTGCTTCAGAAGGAATTGACTCATGTTAACGAGGAAAAGGATAAAGTAATCTACATCCCTTTGGAAAGTGAATTTGGAGAATATTTTAAGGAAATAGTTTTAGTATAATACTTCTTCATCTTATTCTCTCCGTGTAATGGCGAACTCCGGGTTCACCCAGGTTGGCCAGTTATCCCTCTGATTTAATCATTGAGAAATTTTGTAGCAAGGTTTTTACAATCGGGTGCCCTTCCTGACATCAACCCCTTTAGGTGGTTTTACTCCTCTTCTAGACCCAGACTACAAGGAACCTCTTAGACCTCCATTAGCCTCCAGACGTTGCCATTCCCCCGCCACGATAAGGCTGAAGGTAAGATTGGGAGGAGGGAGTTTTAATATAATACAACCTCAAATATAACAAAAAAAGTGACACATTTTTTTTAATATCAAATTAAAATGAGGCAGAACATAGAAATTTTTTATTTTACAAATTTGGAGACATTAATTCTGAAACTGTATACCAAACCATTTTAATTAATGCTTAATTACTATTTTATTGCATTCATCTGTTCGGTTAAAATAGGGAACATAGTTATTAGGTAAATGATAAAATCAAATTTAAAAGAAACTATAGCAAATTTTTCGTCCAGATATCAATAATAAAAGTACAATTAACACAAAATTTTACCCAATCATATTTTCCTTGGGGGTGGGGTGTGGAGATGGGAGGGGTAGAGTGTGTCTCCAAAACCCTTTCTTATCAACGACTCTGGCTTTGATGGAATTTAATATATTTTCAACAACACCCAGATTTACTAAGATAACTGCATGGTATATTGGTAATAGTATTGTAAATTCCTACAATGCCTCATTTTTATATGTGTATTTAAAAAAAATAATATTTTTAAAGGTATCTAAGCAGAAAAAGTTTATGGAAAACGCTTTGTACGAATGCGAGAGTGAGATGGCCGATATAAAATCTTCCCGCTTGGCTCTTCAATCATCTCAAACGTCACTAAAATTAGAGTTTCTAAACGTACAGGATGAGATCTCCAACAGGGACGAACAAATAGCCGAATTAGAGACCAAAATGGCGGCCTATAAACACGAAAACTCTAATCTAATTAAGGAATCCCAAACTTTGAAGGATGAAGTAGAAGAAAAGGATATAGGGATTGCGTCCCTGAAACGAGACAAGGAAGACATGGACAGTCGGTATAGGCAGTTAGAGATGTCAGCCAATGAAATGGCTGGATTTAGGAAGAGAGCTAACGAATCGGAAATCAAGGTTTTTTTTAAATAACATCCTTGACATAATAAGAAAAGAAAGGAAGATACTCTAACCTTTGCTTTTCAGTTGCAAATAGAAGAGTAACTTAACTTTTACGCCATTCATATCCAAAATGATCCTAACCCTATTTAATAAATCAACGCTTCATTTATAGTAAACGCGATTTGCTAGAGCGTTGAGAAAGTAATCGCTGGCGAAACAGCTGATTAGTCGCTGTTATAATTTCTTTTTTAAATATATACTTAAACAGTTGTAGCGATGCCCATCATTTTGTCCGTGCTTATAAATCATACCCATGACTGATTCCCCTCTCCCCTGATAACTATAACGAATGCCTTTTTAAATGACAGGTCATAAGGGGATAATATAAAATGGACGTTAGATAAATTATAAGTGCTAGTATTGTATCTTGTTGATTTGTAACTGATGGATATGGACGTTTTTCAATATATAATCTAGAAATAGATTATTATTTAATAGTATTTGTTTAAAAATTGAATCATATTTATAAGGGGATTTTGGTATTGATAAGAAATATCAGAATATGGTTTGATATACATACGAAATACTAGTAATTGGGATAAAAATGGCGCTCTTCACGTCACTAATGACATTAATCAATGAAGACATATAGAATGACATCTAATCACCCTTACTTTGACCAACTACGGCTTAAATTTTATCCTCAAAAAAATAAATATTCTTCAAAATAGAAATTCAACTTTGAAAGTATTTTTTTTAGACTAAAAAAGATAGGATAAGCTGCATTATATTGGAGTTGGCCTAAGTTTGATAATTTTAACAACATTGCCTAGTATACAATAAAAAAAAAACTAATTTTATGCAACAGTGCAGGGAGTTGACCGAAGAGCATTACAACAAGGAATACAGGCTAAGGGAGAGGATAGAAGAAATCGAGTACGAATTGGAGTGTTCGCAAAATTCCCTCCGCAATTTGCAGGAAACCGTCGTGATCGAAAATAGCGAGCTCAAGAAAAAGAATTCCGGACTGGAGGAAAAATTGGAGGAACAAAAGAAAAAGGCGTTTCAATCTGTAATCACGCGTGCGCATTAAATTTAAATTTTAATCAATTTCGGATTTTTTTTAAAATTATTTTCCTACAGGAACTAAAAATGCAAGAATTCCAGTCGCAGGTTAAAACTTGTCAAAGGCAAAACAATAAGCTGGAAGAAAAACTGGATTCCGTCGAAATTAATTACCACGCACTCCTCAAGCAAAGTACTTTTTTTTAAACAAACTCGACTTTCTAAAAATTGACCGATTTGAAAACATGAGTTGGGGGAGGGGAGGGGGTCTTGATTTATAGAATTCTGAAGAGAATCAATCTCTTCATAATATTTTAAAGTTCTCTCTTTCTTTCTTTCTTTCTTTCTTTCTTTCTTTCTTTCTTTCTTTCTTTCTTTCTTTCTTTCTTTCTTTCTTTCTTTCTTTCTTTCTTTCTTTCTTTCTTTCTTTCTTTCTTTCTTTCTTTCTTTCTTTCTTTCTTTCTTTCTTTCTTTCTTTCTTTCTTTCTTTCTTTCCTTCCTTCCTTCCTTCCTTCCTTCCTTCCTTCCTTCCTTCCTTCCTTCCTTCCTTCCTTCCTTCCTTCCTTCCTTCCTTCCTTCCTTCCTTCCTTCCTTCCTTCCTTCCTTCCTTCCTTCCTTCCTTCCTTCCTTCCTTCCTTCCTTCCTTCCTTCCTTCCTTCCTTCCTTCCTTCCTTCCTTCCTTCCTTCCTTCCTTCCTTCCTTCCTTCCTTCCTTCCTTCCTTCCTTCCTTCCTTCCTTCCTTCCTTCCTTCCTTCCTTCCTTCCTTCCTTCCTTCCTTCCTTCCTTCCTTCCTTCCTTCCTTCCTTCCTTCCTTCCTTCCTTCCTTCCTTCCTTCCTTCCTTCCTTCCTTCCTTCCTTCCTTCCTTCCTTCCTTCCTTCCTTCCTTCCTTCCTTCCTTCCTTCCTTCCTTCCTTCCTTCCTTCCTTCCTTCCTTCCTTCCTTCCTTCCTTCCTTCCTTCCTTCCTTCCTTCCTTCCTTCCTTCCTTCCTTCCTTCCTTCCTTCCTTCCTTCCTTCCTTCCTTCCTTCCTTCCTTCCTTCCTTCCTTCCTTCCTTCCTTCCTTCCTTCCTTCCTTCCTTCCTTCCTTCCTTCCTTCCTTCCTTCTTTCTTATAAAAAAAACGCCTTATAAATGTAGAGAACAAACGTCAGGTATTCAACGATACACCTTTTCAATACAATTCCTATATGGGACTTGGCCCGGAAGATTATAATAATTACGGGATGATGAATGATATGGGAATGGGTACGATGGCAAATGGCAACGGAAGTGTAAGAGGAAGTACAGCTCTCAGAAACTATCCTAGGCATGTCAATCGAAGATACCTGAGTAGCACTAACGTCAGTAATACACCCGTCAACGGTGCTTGGGAAAGACATTACGAAAATGGTTATAAAATTTAATCTATATTACTCAAATTACATTTCACTCATATTAGTTAAACATGGTTTAATAACTTTAGCAGAAACTTGGAAGGAAAAGAACTACCTAGGTTCTAATAAACACATCTTTCTTTCTTCTTTGACCTTTAAAGGTTACTCAAACGATCCGGATGGCTATTATGAAAATGCGCAATTTCCCAACGAACGTTACATGAATGAAGATTTGGCACAAGGATGGAATGATAATTCCTTCAAACGACACGCGGATAGGAATTCTAGAGGAATCGACGAGATCGAAACTTATACCGACGAATTTGGTTTCGAAAGACCCGTTTTCAAGAACAAGCCTAAAAGTTTATATTATAATATAAGATATGCATCGTATCTAGCCGTGTTATATTATGGAAATTGATAATTTATGTGGCAACAATAGACATGGTTAGTGTTAGGTTTAGACATATATACACTACACACTCTTTATAAATCCTAATGGTACATCTTTGAGTCGAAGGTTCCAGCTTCTAAGGGTTAAATCGATTCTCGAATTTTTTTAAAAATGCTTCCGGTCCCGTTTATTTGGACAATTTAAGAGAAGAGTTTGCTTCCGGTTTCAACCCAAACGTTATTGAGGGTTTAAACCGAACAATTTTTTTTTGAATAATATGGCTATTTTTTTGCTTTCAGTTGGTTGGTCTAATTTTTTTTTTGTTTTCCGAGGAGTTATTGTTCACGGGAGGCAAAGAAAGAAAAGAAAATGTCTATGAAGCAAATTTTTCCAATATCGAATTTTTTTCTTCTCTTTCTTTTCGAAAAAAAAAAGATTGTTCTACTAAGTCAGATGCTGTCGACAATCCCGGATGTAGCCCTTTATCCAAAACCCGAAATAATACTCACGCGGATCCCTCTCCTCTATTTCCGGTTCATTTAAACGAAAAAAATCAAAATAACAAACGGTTAGAACAAGATTACGATTCTGAACAGGAGACCATCACGCAATAAAACGGAATATTTTTCTTTTCTTATTTAAAATGTCTTTCTATTCTTTATTTTTTCTCCTTTGTTTTTCTATAAAATCTTCATTTTTTTTTGCTGCATTTTATAACACGATTATTTTTAAAAATTTTTTTATTCTAAAACCGCGAAATTGCGAAATACATTTTTTGGGATCTCGGGGGGATGATGGCGTTTTGTTTACAATAAGCCTCTTTTTTAAAAAATTTATGAAAAAAATCGTAGATTTTTTTTTGACAGGGCCAAGATATTTTTTTTTTCTAATAATTTCTTTCTAAATTTTGGTCTTAAACCTTTTTTAAAACTCCTTTTAAATCTTTTGGCAGAATTACACAATCTTTTAAAACGATGGAATAAAAAACAAACATCAAAAACGTCGAAAAAATGTATATTTTGACGAAAAAAATGATAATTTTGCCGAAAAAAAACGATTCATATTAGTAATACCTCGTTCTAACTCAATAAAATCAGCTACGAATTTTATCGCCGAATTCGTGACATGATATATTATATAAACGCAAAATTTGTTAAAAATTTTAATAGCGTATAACTCTTGGACACCTAAATTCAGAAAAATAATTGGCTAGCAAATTTCATTGAGATAGAACGGGGCTATATAATAAATACTGGCTTCATCGCTATCTTATGACCTGAAGGAAATAGTAGGCATAATTTATCTTTGCGATCAAGGAAGTGACATAAAAATATTTCCTTTTTTAATGTTTATTTTCATTTTTCACTTTTTCTTCCTTTTTTTCTTTTTTGTCATATTTTTATATTTATTTTGCATTTATAATTTTAATTTTTTTGACGTCAAATATCATTTGTATATTTATTTTTATTAAACCGGTTTTTTGATATATAAAATTTAAAACGTTTAAAAAATAGAATTATATTTATTAATAAAAATAAAAACATAATTTACAAATATGTGTAGGATTGTTCAACAGCTGATAATGGTGGCTTTTCATTGGTCATTTTATAAAAGGTATTTGGAGATGGAACAAATTATTTAATCAAAGATTTATGAAATTATTTTATTATAAATATCCAAGCTAGCTTTAATCCCATGAGAAAAAAGAAGTATGGGTTGGATTAGGATTCATCATTGAAAGAGGATCACTAAATATGTTGGCAGCATTTATAAGTCTAGAAGTTGGGTTTATATGGAAAACAAGTTCGAGTTACGTGATCAAATAAGTTCTAGGATATCTATCAATAGAAGTGTAACGCTAACAAAAAACAAGTGATTTTTTTGCCAAAAAATATAATTATAAGTTAAATAATACTTAAAAAATGAAAGTCAAACAAAAAAATGTATTAGCAAATTAAAATCAGTTATAGTTTCTAAATTTGAAGTAAAAGACAATGCTAAAATTAAGGTATCAGGTAAAGAAATCTTTAAAAGAAATAACTAAATAAAAAGAAAGAAAGAAAGAAAGAAAGAAAGAAAGAAAGAAAGCATTTAAAAAGGGTGCTATGCAAATTGGATGAAAAAAATATTTAAAAAAATGAAGTTAAAGAAAATGAAAAGGTTATCAGAAAAGAAAATTCAGATTTAAATGTTAAAATAATATACTATGATATTTATAAAAAAGAGAAAGAAAAATAACATTATAAAGCGAAACGGAAACGGAAATGAGAAAAGTTGAGTTAAAAAAAAAACCAGTTAAAAATGGAGAAAACCGAGGTTTAAAGAGAATAATTAAAAAGAGAATACAAAAGAGAAGGTAAATAAAATTATTACAAAATAACTCCCCAAACCTTGAAAAATTTATATAATAAAAATTAGCTAGCTAGTTAGTATATTAGCTGGTTAGTTTGTATTAGGTCTATCGAAAACAAATAAGTCAATCACTTTCAATTCTAATGATACCAATAATTCTAATAACAGAGAAAATTAGAAATATATCGATTAATTTCGATAGTACGATACGAATAATTCTAAGATTCAAACGAATTATTAAAGTAATTTGATTGGATATTCAAATTATTCGGCATGATTATATTTTTTTTAAAAATAAAATTAAATAATTTTTCAATTCTATTTAATAACCTATTAATCTGGAAGATGATTCCATTAGGAAGATATGTATCAATGCCCTGTGAAAGGTTTTTCTTAGTTACTTAAAACTAATATGCTGTAAAAAAGTCTGGTATTTCTAACAAAAAAGAACTAAAATTTGGCTTGGCATTTATAAGATTAATATGCTTAATCGAATGTTTTTTTTAATTAGATGGGCAATAAAAGCTGTCAAATATAATTTCTTATGAATTATTATTGCGATATTAAATTAAACGAATTATTCGAATAATTCCAATCGAATACGAATAGCAAATTTCACTATATAAATACGGATAGTAAATTATTCGATTTGCCTAAATGAATCGAATATAACTAATGTAGCCTCGAATTTTTAGAAATAGATAATGGCATAGTTAGCTAAGTGTTTTGGGGTGCTTAAACACCCCCCTTTTTCAAAATTAGCGCAAATTTTTATAAAAAAAATGAGCTAGCATCCTATTTTTATAAAGGCCGGGCCGTATTTTAATTTTTTTAAATGTGCCGGGCCGAATATTTTAAAACCGAATATTTTAAATCGACATGATTAACTATAAAAATCAAAACAAATTAAATATATATAAAAAATGAGCTTTCTAGTACTAGACAACCAATTTTTTTACAAAATACATGGGCCGGGGCCGTATTTTAATTTTTTTAAAAATATTTTTAAATAAATACGGGCCGGGCTGTATATTTTAAAACCGAATATTTGAAATCGCCATTATTAGCTATAAAAATCAAAAATCAATTAAAAAAATCCGGGCCGGCCTGAAATTTTTTCAAAAATAAAATCCGGGCCGGGTCGAGCCGGGCCTTACAGATGGAACCTCTACAGGTCTATGATATTGATAGTTAGTTGCATTCTTTTCTTTTAAAATTTTAGGGAATACTTTTCTTGTGGCATTAAATCAGGCAAAATGTTGAATTAAAAATATATTATTAATATGAGAGAAAAAAATTACAAAATTCCCTTATTTGTTTTATATAGTTTACATTAATCAGCATTGTATTATTATTTCAACCAATGACATATAATAATACCTTGTAACTTACACAGGTGGAATATTAATATTATTTTCCTAGTTGAATGCAAATTAGTTGAACCCGCCATTGGTAACTCATATAGTAATTATTTTCCTTTTAAAAACTAAACTACTATTAAATTGATAACTTGCTTTCTTATGATCTCGATGATCAGGCAATTCTTTAATAAAGTTTGCGCCAGACATAGGAATAATCTGCCTTTTGTTTAAAATTTTTATTAATAATATGGGTAATCAAAATGGCATCGCCAGCTGTTTTCATTGAATGCACACTTTTAATTAATGCATCCTCAGTCTAGGTATTATTATATGTCATTGATTTCAACCAATAAAACAATAACTAACTTTAGGGAAATGATACATCAATTTTTTAAATTAATTAAATTTACCCAAATTAAAGCAAATAAGGATAATATAAATATTTAATGAAACTTATTTATTCCATAAAATACGTTAAGATTGTTCAAATTCGATATACAATCAAAGATAATTGCAATTAAAAAATTATTTTTTTCGCACTTATTAGATTTTTCGCAATTTATAATAATTTTTTTATCAGATATTAGCCAATTTGTGTTATTATTAAATTTTACATATATAGCATTAAAGCTATCAAATTTAGCATTTTTTTTTATATACACATTCTTATTGCGTTTAAAAATATTTAAAATGATTAAAAATATTTAAAATGATTAAAAATATTTTTTTTTTCTAAATTTGTGTCTAATCTAAATATTATCATATGTCTATGTAAGTAAGACCCTGCTAAATTAATCGGAATCGATCAATGATGAATAAATCAAACGAATGAATAATAGATGATCCAATTTTACTCTCCGAGAAATATTTTTAATTTCATAATTGAAAACTTTTTAATATTTAATTTATGAATAGCAAAATTATGAGCATGAATATGTTAAGATGAATTATTGATTGATTTGAAATAATTTGTAATGAATCTTTAGATCAGTGTTGTTAAAAGTTACTTTTAAAAGTAGCGCGGTAACGTTACCGCGAGCGTCTTCAAAAAAGTAGCTCGCTATTAGCTACTTTTAACGCTACCTTAGAATTTTATTGAAAAATATTTTTTACGTATCTCTATTTGCACAAATAAAAAATATGACTAAAATAATTGATTTATTTTTTATTGCATCTCAATAATAATAATAACATTTCAATACTGACATTCTCAAGTCTAGAACGACGATCAAAAAATATAGCTATGACTAAATAATCGTTTAACACTAGTACGCAAGGCAATATTAAATTCAATATACATATTTGTTCATTTGAGAGTATTTAGATTTTTAAAGAATCCGCATAAAGGATTTTTATAGTATTATTTATTTCAAAAAAAAAAACCATTCCTTGTAGTTGGCATTTTTGATCTGGTTAGTGTCAGTCTAATGTTATAATAGTAATAATTAGAATAAAAATTAGGTAGGGGATAAGAATTCGCCTGGCCCTTTAACATTTTATCTATTGAACCAATTTCTCTCAAAAATGGGTAAAATGTGAAAAGATTGAAATAAATAAGTATGTTTTGATAAAATTTATAAATATATAAATTCATAGCTTAACATCCAGATAACAATTTATAAAATATTATCGTTAAATAGATGAGTCTGCTGAATATTAATTATTTATTATAACTTTTTTTAATTTAATTCTAGAATAATATCTTATGGCCAGTTGAAACATATTATGTTTGGACTATGCCAGAAAATCAACTTTTACATATCCAGCTAGATACAGCTTTGATTCAAATTTTATTTTAAAGATTAAGAATTGGGTTACACATTTATACTAAATGTTTCCTTGTTGAAGCTACTAGTATTGTTAAATAAAACCTTTAGGCACATCTTCAATAAATATATACCCTGTGTTAATTTTTTATCGAGAATAATATATATCGAATCAAGAAAATGAAAGCCATGTTATCCATTTTCCAGGGACTTTGTCGATATGATCTGTGCCAAAACTATATTAAATAACTCTATGTTGTTCAAAACTAAATTAAATAAAAAGATTAAGATTCTATCTAGAATTAATTACAAATATATTTAAACAATTTTTATGTGTATTTATTAAAAATTGAAAGTAGCGAAGTAGTGCGCTAAAACTACCGCTACTTAAAAAGATAGCGTGCTTGCCATTGTAGATTTTAGCAGAATAGTGGATTATTTTTGCAATTAAAAATAATTATAATTTATTGATATGCAATTAAGCGGTATTGACTTGACAACATTCATTTTCAGCTGATTTTTTAGTATGAAAGATGTTGTGTTTATTTCCAATTGATTAAATGTTCATTTTTTGAATTAGTTTCATTTTAATTCTGAAAATATGAAATCAATGGAAGAAATTAATAATATTTTTATAATTATTTTGATAAGAAAATCTAAAAGGATATACGCCTGGAATAAGGTTTATGAATTTTTGATTGGCTATGAGAGCAAACCATTTGAGTTTGATATTATTTAGATTGGTGAATAGATATATAATTATAATTAATTAATTATAGTAGAAGATGTAAATCCATGAACATAAACCCGTCGATAAACAAGTCGAAGGCTGGATAAAAACGAGCTAAAAGCCCCCCCCCCCCCACAGGGGGTATGGAAAATTTCTCCCATAAATTATATATAAATAAATTAAAAAAATATGGACACTTATAAAATAAATTAGCACTTAGCCCCTACCCCATGCGTAAAATGTTAGCGACGCCTCTGAAAAAGGTGAATACTTTTGGATCCAAAAAGCTAGCGATACATAGGCAGAGATAAGTATATTAAATTATATATGCATATTATTTATGGGTAAGGGTAAATCTTTATAAAATAGTTTATTTGTTTGATTTTATTCATACAATCTCAAGCCATAATATAAATAATAAATATATTTTTACGTGTATATTTTACATTTATTTTAATAAATAAAATTATTAAGACGATTATGATCTCATAAATAAACTCTCTATCAGTAAAATATAAATATCTTTTTGACCTATATTTTAGAATATTAAATGAAAAACCAATTCCTTAATCTGCATTCACCCATGTCAATATTCCATATGACTTTTTTTTTTAAAAAAAGGGAATACGGAATAGGCAAAAACAAATATTTACCAATAAATAATTATGTCAATGTGTGACGCAGGTTTCATTTTAATGGATTTATAAATTTTAAATTAATTATTATATAGTATATAATTCAAATATATGCCTATTAATATAAATATAATGAAGTTGAGTACAATTCAAGCTGATAAAGATAATATTCATATAGTTAAACTTGGGAGGCTGAAATTCTTTTTGAATAACCTTAATCCTAAATGGGTAAGCTTGATATTATTGGTATTGCAAACAACATGCACAATATTGATAACCAGATATTCTAGGACCTCACATGGCAGTGTTAAATCACCCAAAAAAATTGAGCATCCGACAGATATATCAAATAATGATGTTAAATATCTATCTTCAACAGCAGTTCTTTTTTCTGAAATTTTGAAAGTTGTCATATGCCTGATTATAGTTTATTACAATCAAGGTAGTGATATTTGTTTTTAAATTTTAATGATAAATATGTTTATGAGAGACCTGCAGTGGATTAAAAAAAATATAATTTTAGTCATAGTGAATAAATTTTTTTTTAGCATGTCCTAGATACCTAGTTTTAGGCTTGGGACATTATTTAGATCTTTGTTTTTAAATAATTTTGGCTATAGTTTATTAATTGTTTTTGAAAGGAAATTGAAAATTTTACTATTTCTATGACCTGCAGGTCTGAGCAATGGCTATGAAGTGCAAATTAATTTGAATCTGAGACTGAAATGCTCATTTTCATATAAAAACCCAATCTAGGCAGCAAAAAATTTTAACTACCTTTTTATGCTAAAAAGTATTCCAAAGCTCATAGCTTAAGAACATTTTTTTAAAATTAGATTTAATTTGATCAACTTGACTTTGCCTCATGATAACACTATTCCTGTTTGGAAAAGGCTTTAAATGAGATTTTCTATCAGCAGACTTCATTAAATGACTTTTTTAAACTTATTCAAGATAAAAAGCCATTTTTAACTTATATTTATTATCATAAAATTTTATAATAATAATTGTATAAAAAACACTTATAAGTTGTGATTAATATTAGAGATGTACCTATTGACAAGCAGGGAAAGTCTTGCACTGTAAATTGTTTTGTCACTCTATTAGTCGCTATTTGGAATGATAATGCTACGATAGTCGTCTGTATTAGTCTGTGTAGAATATTGACTTATAATATTTTTTTTACTGAGATGTTTAACTTTTTTAATTAAGATATTAAACTTCTATGATAAATATATGTGTTTTCCTTTCACATATAAATAACGTTTTCCATATCTAATTTACATAATATCAAAGTAATATATCCAATTTACATAATATCAAAGTTTAATTTAATATATCACACGATCGCCTTTAACCGTCATTGGAAAAGTATATTAAGGCTTAACACAATAAAAAATAAATCGTTAAGAATATGTAACAGTACCGATATTTTTTTTATTGGATTGGGGATAATAAATGGTGAAAATGTCTTGGCAATTGGGTGTGCTCCTCGCTAGGGACTACTCATGCTTAGATATGATTCACAACATCTAATAATAGCAATACGGAATCTTATACTACTCTATCAAACCATGATTTTATCCCATCAATTAGCATCTCTGAATATCTGTGGATATTTCCATGATTAAATTTTTTTAAATAGTCGGTATAACACTATTAAGTTCCAATAATGGAACAAACAGTGGGGTTTGATGTTATTTCTTTACACGGGTACATGCCCAATAGATGTTTTATATATTATATTTTTAAAGCAAGAACAAACGGAACGTTTCGGACACGATCCGAGAACGCGAATTCATAGAACGCTATCGGAACGGGAAGCGTCAATAATAATATGACAATTATTAAATTTCATAAATATTAGTTTTTTTCTTTAATTCCAGTTTGCCTCATATATAACAATATATTTACTGCTTGACAATTATTATACAAAATTGTTGGGAACATTTTTTAAATAAAATATGAAATAATTTTTAACTTTTTATAAAATTAATATCATAATTAATTAGTGAACAGCGGACCCTAATTTTTTGAGCTCAACCTAACCCCAAATTTTTTAAAAAAATTTTGACCGACCCGGCCCTACTCCGGACGTTTAAAGATTATTTGCGGCCCGGCCCTGTGGTCCCTTTGTTTCTCGTGGGAATTTTAAAATGTATAATTTAAAAAAGTTAAGCCTAACTCGGCCCCGAATGTTTTGAAAAAATATCCGGGCCGAACCGGCCGGGTACGGGTCGAGTCGAGATTTGCAGATCTCTAATTATAATAATACAAAATAAAATGGAAAGTTTCGAATTGTCGATGGAAAATTTTTGTTACCAAGTTAGTGTTAAAAGGGGTTTTTTTTTGAACTCAAATTTTTAATCATATAAACCTCTCAAATATAAACGATAATCTTAAAATAATGTCATATATTTAGTAACACATGTCATATCTAATAACTGTTTTAAAAATTATATAGGAATAAAATTCTATTTTTTGTACAAACGCGTTCCGAAACGCGCAGCGATACGTTAACAGAGCTCAATTTTTTTTACCGGAACTGGCTGGAAACGCAAAAATGCCTGGGTCCCCGCTTTTAACTGTATTTAATAATGAATATTTACTACCATATTGACGATTCATTAATTTAAGGTGTCCCAAGGAGTCAGCTGTAGCGCCATTTTTTTGGTTAGCAATTTCGAATAATTGTTTTTGTTTATTATGATATGAGGTGCGCATTAATATCATTTGATCTACGTACACAAAATGGCGTCTTCAGCTGACTTCTATGCATGGACACTTTTAAATGCCTTTAATGAATTGTCAATCTAGTAGTTTAAAACTAAATATTTATAAAAAAAATGCAGTCCGACCAATGGTCTTCGAAAAACGAAATAAAATTTGTGGTGCATAAAGTAAATATGTAAACATAAGTAGTGGATGATCTGATTCTCATTTATATTAATACAATGTATCGTGCGTGTTTTTGGACCGAAAGTCCGCAGGTCGGGCCTTGAGTTCGCTAATATTGTCCAGCTTGGAATTATGCATTCCTTCATAAAAATCACGAACAGGGCGTGACAACTTATACAAAATAATTTACGGCCTGGGCCAAAAAAAAAGGAATTGCGTGTCAAACCGGAAACCCCGATCAAAAAATTTTGCGAGCAGGCGGCTTCGCGCCATTCTCCATTTTACTTTCCTTATTGTGCAAAATATTTTATCGGCTAATTTAAATTTAATGATATATATATAGCGGAGACCTGCAGAGGTGCAATTTTTACGGCCCGGTCCGGCTTTTTTTAAGAAAATTTTGAGGCCCGGCCCAGTCCTGGTATATTTAAAAATTTAGCGGGTTTAGGAGCCGGCTTGCACTCTCATATATATTTAAGGGTTAGTATTGAATCCTGCCCATAGAGATAGATATAGATGAATATGTTTATCTCGAGGTCATAACAAGAATCCTGAATTATTTAGAAAATTTGCTTCCGCCATTTTCTTTATAAAACCACTCAATTTTCCAGAGTTAATATATAACCCTTGCCCTTATCATTTATTAGATTTATCACTTTTTTTCGCATTTCGTTCGTTTTAAATTTTAGTTTGTTTATGAAAATATTGGTTTTTTTTTAAATGATAAATTTTAAATTTTATACAATGCAAATAGGTCAATCATTAAGTAGCACAAAATCAGCTGTTCGGGAGCATGTCTTTAATTCCCCGGCGGAAATGGGAAAGATATTCGTACCGGCCGCGTTATACACCCTGCAAAATAACCTGATTTTCTTGGCCCTCTCTAACTTGAACGCCGCCACATATCAAGTATTATAATAAGCAGTGACACGAAACGGAACGTTTTAAGACCCGTTCCCAAGAACAGAATTGTGAAAATTATAACGGGGGCAGGAACGTTCCCGAAATCTATTGCAAAACATATGATTTATTACTTAATCCCATTTTATTCATTATTTAAAACGATAAATGTATGTTAGAATCAGAGTTTGGGGAACTAGGACCCTAAGACCTATCGTAACCGCGCCAAATTTAGGAACCTTAACCACTTTTGACTAATCTGAGGTATTCTAAGCATGCTGGAATACATTTGCCTCCACCAAAAAAAATTATTTTAAAATTTAAAAGAAAGAAAGAAGAAAGAAAGAAAAAAAGAAAGAAAGAAATATTGAGGGAGATTGAAACGTATTTATATTATTTTTTTAAATTGGTTAATGTTAAATCCGCCGCACAACCGTTTGGGTAAACGAAAATGTCGTTCTTGCATTTTTATTCTTTAGATCTAGATTACCGCCAATTATTATAATATTATCTCCTGCCGCTCAGTCGCTGCGTTTATAGAGGAATAACTTTAAAAAAAAATTTTGATTCCAGGAAAGATCGATTTTTATATCAAAAAAACAATTGGAAGCGATCAACATTATTTTAATAAAAATTTGGGTCTATTTCTAAAATTATATGTTGGAACACGGCGTGTTATAGAGTTAACCAAAATTTTCGGCCATTCAAATTTTGATAAATGGTTTCTCTAAAAATTATTTTTGTATTTATATCTTTTCAAAAGAAAGAAAGAAAGAATGGCGTTATTCGTTCTAAGTTCAAAAGTTCGCGGCATAATTTTTCTGAAAATGGAAGGGTAGGTTTTCTGAACTTTACTAGAATCCATTTCCTGTAAAATCATAATTTTGTAAAACTTAAAAAAAAACGCGCTCAATAAAACAAATATAACACATTGACACGCTGAAATAATGGTATGAATAATCAAATCAAAATTAAGACATAATATGGCAAAAGGCATACAATATTGAATATGATAAAACTATCTATTCCATCGAAGAATCTCTTCCAACATCACCTTTCTAATATTCTCTTTTCTACTTTCTTCAATACATTTTTAAACTTTTTCTATTTATTTATTTATTTCTTTTTTCTCCGTCAAAATATTTGCACTTTTTGGTCTCTATTTAATTTTATTCCTTTTTGTTTTTATAAATAAATCAAACTTGTATTATTCAAAACACTTATTTTTTTAATAATTGTCAAGTGCCTTTAAGGGGATGATTTCTGTTCTTATATAAATATAAATATTGTGAAAACAAATTCTATATAACATAACTTTCAATCTCATCATCGTAAAATATTAGTTGTTAAAAGATATTTTTTAAATGGATCTAGATACTGATACATCGTCTAAAAATTTATCTAGATACAGATACAGCTTCTAAATAGTTATCTTGATACAGATACAATTTAAAATGTATCTATGTACAGATATATTTTTTATTATAATTTAGGATTCGAAATGATTTAAAAAATTTATTGACTCGATATCACATATAACTAAAATAATGATTTTTAGATATTAACATAATATACGATTAATATAAATAATTATTATATATCATTAATAAAATAATATAATGTATTATAAATAATTATTAGATTTCAGTAACAACCACTGTCTGTCGGAAAATTATATTTTTGTGGAGCTAATGTTTTGATCATTTTTATAAATGATCGTTTCAACAATTGAAAATGGCTGAGTGCTATCTATAATAAAATCAGTTATTAAATCATCCAAAGTGGTTTGGGCTAAAGTCTGAGGTCTCTTGGAAAAAAAATCAATGGAGGATGAGCCTAGTCCAATATTTTCTTTAATAGATTTTTTCTCCTTTTCCCTTTTTTAATATGGATTAAGAGTGTTTGATGTTTTCTCTTGAAATTTAAAAATTGTAAACATTTATTTAGTATCTATACCCTTAAATGTTTTACAATGTTGCAAGTTGAGGTAATGCTAACTGAAATTTGCATATTTTTTGGTAGACATGGCAAACATTTTACTAACAGAGATTTGTTTTCTTTATTTTGAGATATTATTTTGAAATATGGTCTATAAATTGGCCATGGAAGAATGTCGTCATTTTCGTCATCGATATTAATCTTAAAAATTAATATAATAATTAATATAATAGAATAAAATAAAATATAATAAAAATACCAATTCCATTGCAATTAAAAATGGCAAATTCCTTGAGATGGATTGTAATATCAGAATTTGCTTGTTATTGATAACTCGGACATAATATTTAATTAATATTTATATATTCTTTTTTATATATAAGTTTTAATATTTTACACATATATATGTATATAATTTTTTAATATATATATTAATATTAAGTTATATGCTCATATGAAATGAAATTAATTATACAACAAGTATTTTTTATTAATAATATAAAAAGCCATAAATAGATGTATATCAAAATGTATCTTATAATGTATCTATGTACAGATACATAATACAGATACAGATACTTTAATAAAAAATCTATCTAGATACTTTAACAAGTCAATTAGAAAAATAATATAATTTAAAAATCTCACAAAATTATGAAACGAAAGCGAAACACGAAAAAGTTTTGAAACCGGTTCGAATATAAAAAAGATCGAAAAAAGACCTCCCTTTCTAATAACAAAAGTATTTTTTTTTAGCTCAATGAATCTTTGCGAAATCCAATCACGTGGTATAATAACAAAGGGGAAGGGTGTGGGAAAATAAATTGTTTGTACACAACAACCGGCTTCAAAAAAAAAATTTTGAATCTCAAATCTTTGCCTAAAAATTCCAGTTTGTCTTCGCAGACGATTAAAATAAATACTCGAATTGGTATACATTTTGTAAACAAAAAAAGTTTTTTTATAGACGCGCATGCGCGAAATGCGTAAATATTTGCCGACGCTCGCGTCTTGTTTATATTGTTTTACAAAGATTTGCGATATTGAATTGGACTAATACGCAATAAAAATATTTGTATCTTTATACGAAGTTCCTTTTTTTCTTTCAAGTATCAATATCCAGATACTTTATATGTGAAAATAATCAAATAATGATTTGATTAAACCCATGGAATGACATTCTTATTTAATTTTATTTTTTTAAAAAGGTGACTTATCAACTCAAGCTATTTACGACCGCATTTTTCTCCGTCATTTTATTGGGGCGCAGGCTCAATATTCAGAAATGGTTTTCCTTGCTTCTCCTAATGCTGGGAGTCATTTTGGTTCAGGTTTTAAAAATTTTCTTTCTTTTCTTTCTTTCTTTCTTTCTTTCTTTCTTTCTTTCTTTCTTTCTTTCTCTTCTCTTCTTCTCTCTTTCTTTCTTTCTTTCTCTTCTTTCTTTCTTTCTACAATTATTCATTTAAATCACTGATTCAAAAAAAAAATTAGGGTGATTTATATAGCGATTTTGAATTGATTTGTATTGGGCAATTCTATTACACAGTGTAATGTGTACAATGTCGTTATGAGGTTTCGTATTGAGATCCAATTTTTCAATCACTTAAATGAGGGTAATCTTTAGATTTTGTAAAATAAGATTTTATCGAAAGGGAATGTAATGTATTCCGGCAGTTGTAATCCTTATCCATCTAATTTCCGGCATATTTTTGTGTCATTTTTTTATTTAATATATTGAGATATTATATATACAAGAATTCATTAATGTAGGTTAGTTTTAAAGGTAGAGGACAATTTTCTGACTTTTTGTGGATCCGGTCCTCTTCTGCTGATTTGATTCCGAAAAAATAGGATTTCGAGGAATTCTTGATCCCTATAGATTCCGCACCCGTATACCGTATACGCAACCTAAGACTCTTGTAATAATTTGACTCATTAAAGGGGTTCGAAGAAATGAAATTATAACATTGGTTGACACCATGTCTAACATTAGTGATAAACAAAAATTTTATAATGGCAACTAAAATACTTTTATTTTGATTCAGATGAATATAGTTTGAAACGCAAACAGAGATTTATAGACCTTTTTTGTGGCGTCATCCGCGATTTTTTTTATCACCATCTGCCATATTGTATATTAATTTTATTTTTCTACTATTAATTAACATTCGTTAGAATGAAAAAATTTAGATTTAAAGTAATTTTAAGTTCTGTAAATAGCACAGTCAGTTGTTCGATGGAATTGGCCCATAACGATATCATTAAAAACCCGGTGGCTTACCTGCATTTCCACGAAATATACTAAAAATATTGTAACATTTTTTTTTTTTAAAATACATAAAATAAAGATCAAACCGGAAGAAGATACCTTAGATAAAATCCATAAAAGCGATTCGAAGAAGGATAATAATACCTTGGTAGGCATTTTAGCGGTTCTGTCGGCATGTATGTGTTCCGGCTTTTCCGGCGTATATTTTGAAAAATTGCTCAAGCAAAATTCATCCAAAATTTCTCTGTGGATTAGGAACATTCAGTTGGGTAAGAAAAGTCGGACGTATTATGTTGAGTCTAATCGTTTATTAATTCCTTTGTCCATTTTGTTTTTTTTGAATTATTTTTAGGGATAAAAACATAAATAAAACAATTTTTTAAAAAAACGGGGGAAAAAAAGAGCAAAAGAAACAAACATAGGTAGGAGAGGGACCCTAAAACCTGGGGTAAAATTATATTACGAAAATTTTGTAATTCACTCCTTTAATGCTATGAAGTGTAGAGGAATCTTTTGCCAGGTTTTAGTGAGTACGCCCTAAAGGGTGGGGGATTGAAAATTACATCTTAGAGTGCAAAGATCCTAGATAACGTGCCACTAATATGATATCTCACTTTTTTTGGGGGAGGTTTTTGCCAACTGAAAAGTTATTCTAATCTAACGTTATTAACATATTATTATAGGAGATTTTAATTTGTTATTGATTGTATTGTCTTTAAAAATGATATTGTTTGCTTGGAGACTTTCTCTGGGAATAGGCAAGAAACCCATAGGGAAGCATTATGGTCATGGACGGGGATCCAAACTGAACCTAAACCGCTAAAAAAATTATAGCCGAACCTGAACCGAACCGCTAAAATGCCTCTCAATCGATTGGAGCCTCATGATTTTATGCTTATAAAATATCCTGTAAGTTATTACTATAACAGATATTATTTTTTTAACATGAAATATAAAATGGAATTGTGTGAAATAAGAAAGTTATTAGATATTTTGAATAGGGTTTGGAATCTAGTTTTTGGCAGGTTGATAAAACTTGCCAATGTATTACTGATTAGATATATTTTTAAAGTCGACGAAAGTGTTTGATGATAATTATTTTTTATTATGTTTTATTGGAAGAGTTTGTCTGTATATTTTTTGGTCATGTTAGAAATAACGAATGCTGGAAATTGTGCTGGGTAAAAGATTTCTAACGCTTAAACTGAAATGATAAGTATCATTTACCAATTTGGCTATTATTTTTTTTTCGTTAAGTAAACATGTTTACTAGACAAATCCCTTCCCCATCTTTTTTAAAATTAATCGATAGGGATTATTGTCTCTTATTGCCCATGAACGTTTACGAGTGGAGTTAGTCTCCTTATGCGCAGATAGTAATGATCAGAGACCAGCAGGCCCAGTTCTAAACCCTGCCCGGCACGTGTTATTTTTTTAAATATATTCGGGCCGGGCCGTATATTTTAAAACCAATTATTTGTAATCGCCATTATTAGCCATCCGGGTCGGGTCTTAAAATATAAAACCCGGGTTGGGTCGGGCCGTCCAATTGGTACCTCTGCAGGTCTCTGGGAACAATACCAAATAAAACGTGGCCCTGTTAACATTTTCTACCGCAAAACCGAACCCCACAAAGGTTTATTCTTCATATTCATGGAGTAATTTATCCAGTTACTCATTTTTTTTTATTGTTTAAAAAAGGTGTATGGGGTATTATTATAGCCTTTCTCGGTGCGGTCATCTACGATTACGAAAAAATTAAGGAAGGCGGATTTCTGCAGGGATACGATAAATACACCGTTATGGTCATCGTATTGCAGGTTAGATAAAAATTTTACGCGTGACATTTTAGGTTGCCCAAAGTTTGATTTTGGACAGCTGTCTCTCGATCAAAGTTTTTGAACGTTTATTTTAAAAACGGCCCAGGTTCTGAATATTTAGAGACCCGATTTTCAGGGTTCCAAAATTCACCAAAAAAAAAAATCTGTTTTTTTTGAATAATAATAAATATCAAATGAATCTAGAGATAAAGATACTTCTTCTAGAAAATTGATTTAGATACAGATACAAATTTTTATTACATTATTGTATGTTCTGTCTGGGAAATAGAAAAATATGCCTTTCTATTTGATTTTGTGAGGTGAATTTTTTTTTAAAAGCTAAAAGTTAAAGGAGCGAACTGTCTATTGGTAGGCGTAGCGTATAAATTAAATATTTTTGAAATTATTCGCTTCAAGAGATTCGAAAATGAATTGAACAAGATGCGCTGACGAATAGGTAATAAGGATTTTGGATGAATATGTCTTCGATAACCCCCCTCTTTATTGAGAATAAAAGGGCCGATGCTATTTATTTATAAATTATGATTGATTGACGCTCATTTAAATATACTTCAAATATATTATGTAGGCATTGGGAGGTCTAATTATAGCCACTGTCATCAAATATGCCGATAACATAGTCAAAGGGTTCGCGAACGCCATTTCTATTTCACTTTCGGCACTTTTGTCTCATTATTTGCTTCAAGATTTTGATCCTACCAAGTATTATAAAAAAAACTCAATATTATATGGATGGTTTAAATTTAATTAATTTCGGAAAACCTTCACTGGAGCCCGACCTTTCGGCCGGAAACCACATGATCTTAAAAATCGGGACCGAACCCGTAAAATGCTCCAAAATTTTCAAAAAAAAAACAAGGACCGAGACTAAGAATTAAAATAAAAAGAGCCATGCGACCTAAATAAAACAAGTAATTAAATAGGTGGTCTGGGATCTACAATGCCAAATTGTTAACATTCTTGGAACAAAAATTTGATTTTTGCAGATCTTTAGCCATTTTTTGTTCCATCTCCACATGAGGGTTAGTTTTTTTTAAAAAAAGAAGGTTTTATAATGGCGCTTAGTAAACTCAAAAAAAAAACGAAACACCGTTTAAATTTAAAATCATTTTTTTTTTGTTTTAAATGTGAAATTTTTTTTTTTTTTTTAAATTTATTAGTTTTTCCCCCCAGCCCTAGAATCTTTTATATGTTTTTAATATTTTTTTACTCCAATTGAAGAAAGAAAAAATTAGCTCCGTTTGGACAAATGTTCCCCTAAATGTGGATTTATTAAAAGTGGAGATAGAACAGTACAATAATCTACGATATTTAATAATAAAAAAAAGAAGAAGTAAATGTGTGGTTTTAAGGATTTAAAATTGAAAAAATGAAGCGAGGAAAAAGGGTAGGAAACACGGAATTGTAAAATTTCATATTTTTCATTCCGTTCCTGTCCCGTTCCTGTGATCATAATTTTTTTTTGGATTCTGAAGCTGTCCCGAGAAATATTATAATTTGAAAAAGGTAACACTTCCAATTTGGAAAGCTATTTTGGACATCAGAACCTATAAATAAAAATAGAAAACAAATATATATATATATAAAAAGAAATTAATAATAATTATGAATCACGAAATCAATTTAATTCTTTATTCCAAATTATAACATTATTAAATTAACAAAATTATAAAAGGAAAAATAAAAATAAAATACAAAAAAGTTAATAATTATAAAAGATCTTTTTGTATGGTAAAAGTTGGCCTTTTTATACTCTTTCCAATCTTCTTTATAACTAATATTCATAACTATTCAAATTTAATATCTTTATCACGCGTTATAATGATAAATCCAAAAGAATTCTTTATGTAAATTAAATATACGAATCTACTATTTACAACAAAATCCAAAAGAGTTCTTTATGCAAATTAAATCTAACATTTACAACATAAGTGATTAGCTAAAAGAATTAAACAATTTTCTGTATTATTTTTCTTTAAATCTTGTTGCCTTGTCTCCCTTCAGCGTTCGGTTTTTCAGGTCTCTGGGAAGGAAGTAAAGAAGTAAGTAGGACTGTGCCGATATTAAATATCGGATCGAATGGGTCCGATATTTCGCGTTTTCCAAAAATATCGGATCGGAAAAAATGCAATTCTTAAAAATTTTGAGTAATGAAACTTTGAATTATTATTACATCATAAATAAAAAAAAGTTATTTAAAAAAAGAAATAATTTCCCCGAATTTAAGTGAGTTACTATTTTACATTAATAATATTTTCTAAATAATTTTTTTTTTAAACAATCGCAAATGTTATTTATTTATTTAAATAGATTTTAAAAGTTTTTATAAAAAATAACACCAATTTTATTATTAAAATAAAACCATCATTTTTGTTTATTTTCTAATTTATATATTATAAATTATTTATATATTTAAATATTTAAAATAACATGTAAACTATTTGTAAAATAAAATTTATATAAAAACTATATTAAATAAAGTAATAATTAAACATTTAATTAGGTATGATCAACGGGGCTTATAGACCCTATGGATATGCAGTTAGAACGGCAGATTTCAGTTGATATTCTCTGTCGAAGGTAGAAGCCTTCTTTTGGGTCATCTGTGATTAAGCGTAACCTTTGCCCTCCTCACCCCCGACAATCAAACCAGACCAGATGGTATGATGCTAGTCCCTTGGAACCAAGGTCTACCTCTCGCCTGGGATTATACTTGCGTGGATCGTTTTGCCTATCACGAAAGCCGAAAACACAAAGACAAATAAATTTAGCCACACATTAATAATCTTTTGTTTGTTCCGGTAGTTTGAGACACTTAACCCTAAAATTATTCAAAACAATAGGGCACAGGTTACGATTAATCCAGGTGATCCAAGAGAAGGCTTTATACATAAGTCGTTAAACCCCGCCGATCTGACCTATAAATTTATTAAATATTTTTTTTAATATAGATATGGTAGGTTAATATATTTATAATCAAAATTTTATGTTATTGTAACCTTTTTTAAATATTGGATTAAAAATAAATTTTAATCCATTCAATTGTTTCTTTATTTTAAACCAAAATATTTAAATTGCAATCCCCCCCCCCCACCACGAGTCAAAGTAAATAGAATGAAAATAAAGGAATGGAAGGAAGAAACTTGAAAATATAATATAATTTTTTTTTTATTATCGAAATTGTTTTTTTTAAAGATTATTTGCCTTGGGTACTTTCGTAGTCATCCTGGCCACGGTACTGTATGGATACGAGCCCTCTAAAAAATCTTCCGCTTCCGCTATGTTGAATTCCTCCGCCGAAAAAACCGGTTTGGTTGCGCATTTGCACCAAACGACACCGAAGAAAAAATTCCAAACTTACATAACTTAAAAAATTTGATATTATGAATTTTTTTATTTATTTAAATAATTGTATAAAGTTAAGGATTATATTTATATTTACATTTGATATACAATAATTTTAAATAGATATAATTTGCATTACATAAACTGGTCACGTGTTCTTGTGTTTACGTCAAAGACTGACATGTAACAATACCTAAACTGACGATACCTTCTTAACAATGCATTTGAAAGCGTCGTGAAATGCAAATCAGCTGGACCCACCATTTTGGTGAACCGTGTAGTAATTCTCATGTTAAAAACTAATATTAAAATTGATAACTTGCTTCCTTATTATCTCGGATGGTCAGGCAATTCTTTGAAAATTTTTAAGAATGATATGGGTAACCAAAATGGCGTCCCCAGATGTTTTTCAATTGGATGCACACTCTTAATGAATGGCTTGTCAGTCTAGGTATGTCATTGGTTAACGTATAATACCTGTAAATAAAATCTTAAAATTTATTCATTTCTTCTTTCATTTTTTTGGTGATGGAAATAAAATATCCAAAAAAATTAACAAATTATGGGAAAAGAAATTATACACTAATTATATTGATCTGAATTTTTTACCGGGGTTCTTCTGGATTCAAATTTGGGTTCAGGAATTTTAAACTCTATTTAGGCCAAATTTGATGACAGGAACTTAATCGAAAACCGATTTTCGAAAAGGGTCGAACCCACCCCGGTATTCCTGAACCCGAGCTCGGGAATCCTGATTTTTTTTACATTAGTTTACAATATAGCCCTTTCAGATCCGACTTGATCCGAAGAAAAATATTTTAAAAAAATGTTTGTCTGCACTTTGCAAACATCCTAGTTCAAGCTATCCAAAATGTTATTTCTATAAATAGTTATAACCCCAAGGCAGTTTTTTGGGACCTTAAACAAAAAGAGCGGGAAAATTCTAGGTAACCATAATAAAGAAAAATAGGTGAATGAGGTCCGAATCTGATTGAGTGGTTAGAATGCCATTCAAGCATGATCGACTCCTGTTCATCACGATTTTCATTGGTTGGCGTTGTCCGATCCAACCAAACTTGAACAATAATCTTTATCCCGGATATAGAGCTCTGGCAAATTTCATGTTTTTCTTAAAAGATTTTATAAATACCGAGATTTTTAATTTGAACCTTTAGAGCGCCTTATCATTTTTCCTCCTTTTTTTGGAAAAAATGCCGTTTTCTCTTCAGTCCCAATAATTTCGGATTAGAACCTTTCTCAAATATCCGGGCCCGAACCGGATATTAAAATTGATTTTCTCTTTCTATACCACCATTTAAACCTTTTGCTTTTATTAACCCCCAAAAAAATTATATTTAAAAGTAAAATATTAATCATATCAAAAAATAAAATTCATCTATCACTTTTGTAAGACTTTAGTAAAATTTTAATTTTTGTACATTCATTTTTAGTAAGTAAAAAAATCAATGCATCTGCACTAATTGGGTATAAATAACGCCATAATTGAAAAGAATTAAGTGATATTATCAAATTAACCCAACTAATATAGCTTATATTTTATTTAATTAGTATTCACATTAAAGCTTCATTTTATCGTTGGTTATGATTATAAGTGATAAGTAAGTCTACACTTATTATTTAAAAAATAAATTTTATAGACGAAAAAAATATTAATAATTGCTAAATAAAAATTATTAGAACAAAAGTATAAGATAAATTTAAATTCCCCATTTTCACGAATTTCGCTATTATTTGGCCATTTTCACAAATTCTTATACATTCTGATAAAAATCTTTAACTAGATTCCGTTTAAAATTTAGGTTTAAATGGCAAAAACTCAAAGGTGACATTTGCCGACAAATGTCTAAATGTTCAAAAATTTTAGGGGCGTGTTCACACATCACGTAGATAAGAAGTTTAACGAAAAATAATAGATATCGATTATTAAATTATTTTTTGTTAAAAATGTAAATTTTGTGAATTAAAAATGAACATATTTAGTGTCTTATTTTTTAATATTGCAAGAAGAAGAAGAAAAAAAATGAAAACTTAGTTTAACTTCAAATTCGCTTAGGCTTGTCTACTCATTTAACGCGGATTTTGAAACGTTTCGCAAAATTTAAAAGGTTAAAAATAAGAATCTTATTCTCTATCTTTTGATTATCGAAACTTTTTTAAACGCGGCGTTAAAAGAAGTGAACCCAAGACCATAGCCCTGAAAGAGAGGTAAATAAAGGCATCATATCGAAGCTATGCACATGCATAATTTCCGGTCAGAAATTTTTATCGGAATCCCTAGGTTTGAAAATGAGTGCTAATAATTTTCGCTATTTCCTTAAAAATTAGTATACTTTTTTATTGCGGTGGAGGGGAGTTCCAGTGAGAATAAACTGAGGTCCACATAAAGTTTTGAGGCGGAGAGCGGATTTTGATATTTTAATTAGTGATCTGCATCGGGCCTCATTTTTCAAGTCCAGCCCGGCCCGATGTTATTTAAATATAGAAATTAATTCTTATAATTACTCGAAATAAACGATATATGTTGTATGGCGTCTACTTTCTACAAATAAAATCACATCTTTTTATTTTTACATAAAAAATTCAACATAAAATTGATAAATTCAGATATATTTTAAAAAAATTTTAAGGCCCGACCCGGTCCGGCCCGACTTTTCTTAAAAAATATTAGAGTTCGGGCCGGGTTTTGCAGATCTCTAATTGTGATATTGGAAGAATGGAATGGAATTTATGGAATGGATATTTTTATGTCAATAGGTTATACTTACGGGATATAGGGGCGTGCATTAAATTTTTTTAAAACCGGGTTTAAGTTATGACTAGACCATTATTGTGATTAAATACCACGGCCGCTGGGGTCATCAATCTTTTAACTTTAGAGTGGCACGTCTTGTAAATGTTGTAATTGAGGTTGGAGTGATGAGAGCTGCCAATCAAGGATTTTTATTATGATTACTTTATATAACATTCGCAAGTTGAAGGATTAACATGTATAATCAAATAAGTACAGATAGCAACAGTAGATATATAATTAAATTTAGTTTAAAAAAAGATGTATTTATATCTGAAATGAGCAAATATAACTTGAGTAGGGCTAGCTAACCTATCGACCCACGGGTGATTGGCAAAGAGATATATATAAACTACATTCTTTGTTAAATCATTAACATTGTTATGTATGACTCTTCTCACTACCGTGGAATAAGTTATCTTAGAAATATCAATTCCACCAAGATTTAAATAAAAAAACAATCAGATACTTAATATTCCTAGTAAATATTATCGTTTCTATAGAGAAAGAACCCATCTTTAATAATTTACATTAATTACCCCTTTTTAAAATTATCATGGTCATCTTTATTCCAGTGTTTAAAATTTTCGATGCATGCCAGGTTTAAAATTCTCTAAATTTTTCTATAACCCTGCAAGAGTATGTATTCCTTGTAACTAATTATTTTTATTCGTATTTTATGAATATGAATATAAAAAAAATTCGATGAGACATTTCATTTTTAAATATATTTTATAAAGAATTTAATTATCGAATCGGATATTATAAGAATTTGAGAATCAGATATTTGACTATCCGGTATTTGACAAATCGGATATTTGACTAATCGCATATTTGATGAATCGGATATTCAACGAATCGAGGCGAATAATGTTTTTATTATTCGTCGGACAGATACAAATACTATTCGTATTCAATTCGTACAAATCCGAATAAGGCAATCTATTCGTATTTTTGCGGATATACTTCCGGAAAATAGAAGAGTGTTCGCAATATTCAGTGAGGCTTGTAAAATGGTATGATAGAATTTGGAATGATATTGATTAAAGTCAATTATAATACATAGGTCTTCAAAAAAGGATGGTTTTTTTAGCCTGACCGCTTTACCCCTCCCCTCCACATGCTTAAAAGATATTTGACGAATTAGTGGGTAATACTAAATTCTTCTTGTTATTATTAACTATTATTATTTTTAATTTGTTGAATCATTTGGATTATTAACGCTTTTATTTACGCTCCCATTTCACTTAGTTTAACAAACCCTTTCAATAATTTGAATAATATTTAAATATAGTTTTCTTATTTTATGGCGATACTAAATATATAAAATAACTGGATCAAAAAAATGAAATCTATTTCCGTCTAAAATATTGTTTTCTGCCCGCCCATCACTGGCCATGATATCGGACACCTGTCACAGATGTTCACGCTTATTCAAACTTTGGTATATTCATCTTTTGAAATATATATTATATATATACTTAACACATTTAAAATTTACCGAAAATTCAAATAAAAATAATTCAAATGTGTTTATATCTCCAACAAAAATCTGAGTAAATATAACTAAAAATTTTTTTTATTGATTTTAATTCTTAAAAAGTTTGTTTTTAAAATAGGATTACTCGTATATTATTGTCTATTAATTTTCTAGGAAACATCAAAAACTGGCCTATTAGGATCGAGTTTTCCTGCAAGATTCCCAGGAATTTTGATCTAAAAATTTTCAGACTGATTTATTTTGTGAATTGTAAAAGGAATTTGGTTAAATTTTGGAGAAACTTGGTAAAAATTGTTCCAAATTATCTATAATAAAAATAAATAAAATTTATCAAAAACCTATAATGAATCATACTTATCTCTGAGGATAGCAACAACATCATTACTCCTCTATGTTTACAACACCAATAATACAATCTGATATATTATTTAAATTAGAATTTTTTTAATCGAATTTTTGGATTTATTTCGTGGATAAAAACGATAATTATATATCTTTAAGCTTAGAGTTTTTACCCGCAAAATATATTGGTTTGCAATAATTAATACGATAGAAGAGATGTAATAATATTTCGATCGCCTTATTTACATTTATTATATAATTAAGTATTAACATATGTAAATTGCAATATTTAAAATACATTCATATAAATATGAAGAAGAGAATAGAAACTTAAATAATACTTAAAAAACAGTTCTAATGAACAAGAAAAATCATAGAGTCTATGTGCACCCTTTTGAGAGATGATGATAATAATGGTGTATACACAATAAAAAAGTTTTTTAATAAT